TGGCGATCATCCGCGCACTCGAGGAGTATAGACACTTCCTCGAGGGCGCCGCGCATCCCGTCGAGATTTGGACTGACCATAAGAATCTGGAGTACTTCAGGAAGACGCAGCACCTCAACCGGAGACAGGCCAGCTGGTCCCTCTACCTCTCCTGGTTCGACTTCACGCTGCACCACAAGCCCGGCCGCGACATGGGCCGACCTGACGCCCTCTCTCGGAGACCCGACCACGGAATCGATTCCGACAACTCCGATGTCGTCCTTCTGCGGCCCGAACTCTTCCATGTCCGCGCTCTCGAAGGTGTTTCCGTTTCCGGCCCTGGTTCTGAACTCCTTCGCGACATCTGTGATGCCCTCTCCGGTGAGCCTGACTTAGAGGAGCCCGTCGCACTAGCGGCCCGGCAACTCCTAAAGGTCCAAGGTCAAGCTCGAGGCCCCCGCTCCTCGCGCTCCGACGAGTGGGCTGTCTCCGGTGGTCTTCTTCACTTTCGTGGGAAGATTGTCGTACCTAAGGATAAGGACCTCCGGAGACGCATCATCGAGCTCTGCCACGACACTCGAGTTGCCGGACACGCTGGTCGCTTCAAGACCTTGGAGTTGGTCTCCCGGAACTACTGGTGGCCTCAGATGTCTCGCCATATTGGCCGGTACGTCGCGACCTGTGACTTGTGCTGTCGCACCAAAGCACTCCGGAGACTGCCCCACGGAGAGCTGCACCCGACGGAAACGCCCCCAGAGCGTTGGCATACCGTCTCCGTCGACTTCATCGTCGAGCTTCCAGAGGCCCATGGGTACGACGCGATCATGGTGGTCGTCGTCGACACCCTTGGGAAGCGTGCCCACTTCTCGGAGTGTCACACCACGGTCGACGCAGTAGGGGCGGCTCGCCTCTACTACCGGAATGTCTGGCGCCATCACGGGACTCCGGAGAAGTACGTCTCCGACCGCGGCTCGCAGTTCATCGCGGACTTCACCCGAGAACTCTGGCGTCTAATCGGCATCAAGCCTGCCACGTCCACCGCGTACCACCCGCAGACAGATGGTCAGACAGAGCGCGTCAACCAGGAGCTGGAGCAGTACCTGCTGATCTTTACCAACTATCAGCAGGGACGACTGGGATGAGCTGATTCCGGCCGCGGAGTTCGCCTACAACAACCACGTTCACTCCTCTACGCAACAAGTCCCCTTCATGACGGACACGGGACGACTCCCGCGCATGGGCTTCGAACCCGGAGTCCGTTCCGCTATGGAGTCCGTGAACGAGTTCCGCGACCGGATTGCCACTGGTGTTGCCGAAGCCAAGGCCGCTCACTAAGGCCAAAGAGGAGTACAAGCGCTACTACGACCGGAGACGCACTCCGTCTCCGGAGTTTAAGGTTGGCGACCGTGTTTGGCTGGATGCCTCTGACATCAGGACGACTCGCCCCTCGGAGAAGTTCTCCCACCGCCGCCTCGGACCGTTCAAGATAGTCGCGGAGATCAGCAAAGGTGCCTACAAGCTCGACCTCCCTCCGCGCTACTCGAAGCTCCACCCGGTCTTCCCCGTCGTCAAGCTCGAGCTCACCCAAGACGACCCCCTTCGACGGACGCCCCGGCTACGACCAGCCCCCTCCGGACCTCGAGGACGGAGTCCCGGAGTGGGAAGTAGAGGAAATCCTGGACGCAGGGGTGAGGTATAAACGGCTGAATTACCGTCAGATGGAAAGGCTACGACGCGTCGCACGACCAGTGGGTCCGCTTCGACCGCGTCTTCGCCCGGAGAAAATCGCGGAGTTCTATCGTAAGTACCCTGGCAAACCACGGCACATCGCCTCTGCAACCTTCGACTCGATTCCATTCCGGTCTATGCGTCGGGACACCGCATTCAAAGGGGGGTGATGTCAGGGGAACCTCCCTTTCGGCCCCTCGGAGACGATTCCGATTCCGGTCCGACTCGGTTCCGACTCCGGCGATCGCATCACCGCCTCTGTCAGGCGCATCGCCGCCCCCGCCTGGCGATCCCCCTGGGACCTGGCCTGCGACATGGCGGCAGGCATACTGCACGGAGCAACGATCAACCTTGGCGCGTCAAGAGCGCAGTATATAGTTCCGCTACCTAGCAGGCGGACCCTTAGAGTTTCTTCTCTTTGGATCCTCCCCTGCTAGGACCTTGATCTCAGGCCTCCGGGGTTGCCCTTACAGTTTGCTGACTTCCTGTAGCTATTCAAGATTTATAAAGCAGTCAAATACCTCAAGTCCCGTTCAGGCATCAGTTATGATGACCTTCTTGGCGCAAATATCACCACACCCGAGGAAGATGCCGTCTGGCGTAATATCGTGGCTGGTAATCCCGACTGCGAGCCCTTCCGCAACCGGGGGTGGCTGCCATATACCACCTTCGAAAAGCTCGACCCGACAAAGCCAAAGGGTGATACTTCATTCCGCCCACGCATCGGTCTGCAGGGCGTCGAAATGCCTCTTGGAGACATGGAGCCTCAGTCACAACCCGACCTCGACCCAGGCAGTCCAAGCCGCTGGGACATTGCTGATGGCTTGTCATTGCCGTCTGAAGACGAGCTTACTCAGCCCAATCTCGACTCAGATCCATCCCAGCCAGCTCCATCATCCCGGTCTAGTACGGCTATACCATCTACCCCAGCCCCTTCTCTCAAACGACCTGCTTCCTCTGCATCTTTGAACACAGGACGAAAGAAATCCAAAGCGATGGCAGATAGTGGAGAACGAGTATTGGCTGCCTCGCTTGATAATTTTGGTGACAAGATGGTTAATTCAACCCGTGAACTTACATTGGCTTTACAGAACTCAAACAAGAACGCAAGTCCAGAGCGACGTAAATCAGCAAATGACCTGGTCCATGCTGAACGTTGGCTTTTCCCGGAGCGATCGACGTCAGCTTAGCAAGCTGTTGCGGAACGAAAAAGTTGCAGACGAATATCAGTCATATGCTGAGCAATCGGTGGAGGAGCGCAAAGGTTGGGTTTGTGAGCAACTTGGGTATAGTGAGGACTACTGGACCATCTGCCCTGATGATTTTGACAATACTTTTAATAACACTTTTTAATAAATATTTCTGTTCGTAGCTATTCATATATAGACTACTATTTTAGTTCATAATTTCATCATCTTCACTATTATCTGCCTCCTCCTCATTATACTCTTGTTCTTGCTCTTGATCTGATAGCTCTTCATCTGCTTCAATCCCTTGCTCTTCACGTTCTTGGAGTACACACTGATAATCACTCCACATTGCGTCAGCAATCTGGTCACGAAGAGTCTCTCCTGCATAGAGATCATCCTCAGTATGCCGGCCAGTTGCAAGTTCTCCTTCCAAACGCAGAGCTGAGACCAAGTCTGGATCAACACTGCTGCCAGGTGATGGGTCCCAAACCTTTTCATCCACATGCTCTTCTGGATCATTTGCCAGGATAAAGTTATGTAATGCAGCCAATGCCGCTGGAATACGGGCTTGTATTCCCATATTATATGCAGGAGGCACAACAAGGATCCGCCACCGCTTCTTGATAACACCAAAAATACGTTCAATAACATTACGAGCTTGAGCATGACGCAAGTTAAAAAGCTCTTGTTTATTCTGTGGTCGTTGATTTCCCTTTGCCCATTCACGTAGATGATAACGTATATTACGGTAAGGTGTCAAGACACTAGCACTTAGTGCAAAACCTGCATCACCTAGATAGAAGAATCCATCTGGAATAGGAAAGTCCTTCATACGTGCATCAGCATATAGAAATGCATCAGTTACTGATCCTTCCCAGCCAGAAAGAATATAAATGAACCGTAGTCCAAAGCTACACACTGCAAGGATATTCTGAGACAGGAACCCTTTCCGGTTGCGTGTATTTCCACGATCTTCTGCTCTGGAAGTACAAGCAATATGAGAGCCATCAAGAGCACCTAGACAATTTTTGAAGAATGGCCAAAACTTGAGATTATTTCTGAGATAGTTGGCAGGAGGATCATGAGCAGTTGGCAGTGTCACAAATTTGTTATAGAATTCTGCTCCTGAAAAAATAAAAGTCATTTTCCGCATAAATCTATATTTTTAAATATGATATCAGTAATAGAAAAATAAGAGCTGACTTTGTTATGGTTTCATTGGAGTATTGAAAGCGTTCACCAACATGTCGGCAACCTAGTCCTGTTCGTACACTGTATAGAAAAATTGCTAGCTGCTCCTCCAGAGTAACATATTTGCTATCAGTTTGTCCAATGCTCCGGAGCTCTACAATCAAGGCTGCAAATACATGGAGATGGACACCCAGCTCATTGTATATGCGCTCTGGATGGCCTCTAATGAGTTCATCAACCCACATCTTCCCTGTAAGTGCTGAAGTATGATAAGGCTGGGTCCAATAGTCATTGCTCTGGTATAGCAGTGAGACAAGGGCAACAATTTGGATAACTAGTGCAGAACTAGTCATCCACAACTGTAGCTGGTGGAGAATAATCTCCTGTGTAGGTGGGGGCATGGCAAAAGGCAAGAGGAATGTTATCATGCTCTAATCTACTCGCTGATCAAGCCCAAATCACTTGACATTGACACCGACATCTACGATCAAACTCGTGTTCTACATCAAACTCGAAACTCAAACTCGCGTTTGAAGTCCATCCGAACGGACTCTAAGCTTTCAAGGAGGATCAAACCCCGATCATCGCCGGCTCCAGCATCCTGGGCCAACGCCGCGAATCTCCGTTCTGCAATTTCCCGACACCGTGTCGGCCGGGCTCCATTGAAAAAATCGAGGCGACATGATGTCATCAAAAGTTAAAACCGAACACTGCCATTCAACGCGGCGTTGGGGCAACGGTCTCGCAGACCGCCACGGTCACCCTCCTCGACTCAATTAGCCTGGCAGGGATAAAAGCGAGCGGATTGTCGGCGGGATCCTCAGCAGCGCTCTCCCTTTTCCCACTTCTAACACTTGTCTTTTTTACTCTTCCTCTTCGTCTCCTGTTTTGACCAGGCTTTTTCATCGCAACATGAAGTTCTCGACGAACAACTCTCTTTTGACGGTCGCAACCGTGCTCCTGGCCTTTTCCGCCAGCGCGTCTGCACATGCGATTTCCATGTCCGTCTCCACTCCCAAGTTCTCCGCGCCTCTGACGCAATTTCCAGACCCGCGCTCGGCATCCAGGGCACGGGCCAGCGCTCGGACGTGCAGCGGCCCAGCAACGCCAACCCGTGCGGCAAGATCAACATCGCGAAGAACCTCGACTCCTCGCCGGCCGTCGCCGCCGCGGCCGACGGCTCGGTCACGATCAAGATGAAGGCGTTCAACCCCGGCGCGGACGGCTCGCTGCAGGTCGCCGTGCGCGTCAACGCGGACGGGAAGGGGAAGAACTTCGTCGCGGGGACGGTCACCAAGAACGGCAACCCTGTAAGTGTTCCCGCTGCGTGTTTGTAATTGTCGAAGGAGGCTGACGGAAGTTGTTGTAGAAGCCCAAGGTCGGCGATGTGGACACGGTCGTGTTCAAGCTCCCTCCGGGCACGAAATGCACGGGCGGCGCGAAGAAGAACCGGTGTCTGGTGGTGAGTGGCCCGGTCCCATCCAGATACTGCTCGGCTCACCTTAGGTTCCGCAGTCCGTCAAGTCCACACGAGGATTTGGCTCGTGTGCCGTCGTCACACAGGGCGGCAAAGGCAAGAGAGGCAGCCCCGATTTCGGCCTCGTCCAGGCGAGCGCGCGCAGGGGAAATAGAGGTGCGTATTCGGCGACTGCGGTGCTTGGCCCAGATGACGAATATTAATCGTGTGCGGTAGCTGCGGTCGTGGCGCTTGCACGCGCCGTTGCGAGGGAAGAGGAGATGCTCGAGGATGGCCACGAAGATGACGTGCCTGCGGGTGTTGACGGGGATGCCTCGATTGCCTCTGTCCACGAGGATGATTTGCTCGCCGATGTTGACGACGATGACTTGGAGTCGGTTGATGCTGACGACGAAGAATAGAGGACAGGTGAACATGTATTATTAGACTTGAACCTTCGATAATTCTATGAGTGTTTCAGCCCATTGCAATGGTGAAGCCTGAATATCCGACGTATAACTACCAACCACGCTACATCGCCTCGCACCGTTTTTTGAGCGCCGCGTTCATAGCCTCTATCGACATAGTCAAATCCGCCAGCATGCCCTTCGGCATCATCCGGCCCGCCAGGCCGCCGATCGCCGAAACCACCACCACCTCGGTCTTCCGGCCCGCTCCCGCCTCCCCCTCGACGTCGGCGAAATGGTGCAGCCGCACGGAGCGCAGCAGGAACCCCCACGAAACGGTCCACACGAGATGCGCCCCCGCCTCGACGTGCGAGAGCGCCTCGACCATGTCGTGCGTGCCGACAGTGTCGTCCATCGTCGGCGGGATGTGCAGCTTCAGTGACAGCCGGTGGCCGGCGGCGACGGGCGTCCCCGCCCCGAGCGGCCGCTTGTGCTCGTCAAGTAGCGTGCATTCGCGCCAGTATGGGTTCCTATTGGAATCAAAGCAGTTGGCAAGTGAGAAGTTACTTGAAAGGAGGGATACGCACCATTCGGGGTAGGCCTTGAAGTCGGTAAACACGCTCCAGACCTTTTCGCGCGGCGCGTCGATGACGACGGACCTGGAGATGTACGTCGGCCACTCGGACGCAACAGGGAGGGCGAATGATGCAGCTGGAGTGCTCATGCCAGTGTGGAATGGGATGGCGAGGAGCGCAAGGAGGAAGAGCAGCAGGTAAGTGCGCAGACTCGCCAGAGTATGATGGTTCTGCCAGAGGAGAGCGGCCCAAAGCTTTATACCATACTCTGCGCATTTCAGACATCCACGGCATCAGCGACGCGTCTCTCCGGCCGGCCGAAGAGGGGGAACTTGCGAGATTAGGCGCTAATTGACGCGAATGTGCGTCAGCTGAATGACAATCCCTCCAGGGCTGTGCATCCGGTTCGGAAGTCCGTCTGAACTTGGGCGGGTGCCACGATGCAGAATGATTTTCAAGTTGAAAATTGACTCGGAATTCCAACGAATTGCTGTTTTGTCTCCATCCCGTTGTGAGTGGACCGTGGGCTCATCGGCAGAGTCCAAGGTCGAGTCGATTCCAGGTGAGGCCCCTCCTTGAGCTTTGCCGAGTGAGCGTCAAATTTTGAGAGTGTCAACGTCATGTGACCGTGTGACCGTGATGACATAAGAATGTACTTCCTTGAAAGTTTTCCCCATGTCCACCGAAGACTTGTTTTCACTGTCCTCTTTGGAGCTGTCTGAATTGCTGCCGATGCTGCCTCTGGAACCCGAGGGTCCAGTGGGCATATGCAGCAATAAAGCTGTTTACATCCTCGAGCTTCTCGAGCAGGAAAATAGGCTCAACAACCGGGACGGGCCGCTCTCTGCTACAATCCAGCGTGTAATCATCGCCATCCCGTATTCCTCTTATACGGAGGCCGAACTCAACAGGGTCGCGTTCCTCCTGTTCGAGGTGCTCATGCATCTTCCGCGCGAACGCATCGAGTACTTTCGCGCTGCGCTGACGCACCTGACTGATGCGCCGATCGGCGGGATGTTCGACTGGATAAGCGCCGCGGCGGAGGGGATCGTCCGGTACCTCGACGCGCCGCCGCACGTGCCCCAGCACAAGACCGACATCATGGCGATAAGGAGCATCCAGGACGGCGTCCGCTCCGCAGAGGAAATCAGCGGCCATTTATCCCGGGCCTGATTTACTGGCTGCACTTCCCCGCCGAGAACTACTGGCTCACGACACACGGCAGCCCGTCGCAGCTCGAACGATTCCCGGGTCTCGCGGTGGAGGGCGTATTGGGTGCGCTGCGGGACGCCGAAGAAGACGAGGACGGGATGTGGGCAGGCGCTCTGCTCCGATTCGTTGCAACCAAAATACCCCGTGGTCTACGAGAACCCCTGAGACCAGCGATCGAGCGCATCGCACAACGGCCAACGGAGCGTGAATTAGAGCTTGACGCCGCCCTTTCCGACGTCGCGTTACAACTGCTGGTGGAGATGGACTATTGGTCGGCCACTGCCTGCTTTCCCTTCGGTTAAAAACGACCAAACTGAAACATTTGTAGCAACAATAAATAATACCTACAGCGCCAACCCAGCTTGGGGACTGGGACACTAGGCCAGCAGCCGCTGATAGATCGCCCTCCGCGACACGTCTGCGCTTTCGACCCCGTTCCACTCGCGGCTTCTGTAATCCAAGTCGAATGAAATGTGCAATATAGAGGGCGCCCAAGCGCCGCTACTTCCAAAGATGCGCTGTGTGGGCCGATTATGCACAGTTTGTCGAGCTCGCACCCCGATTTGTCGACAAAAGCGTTGACGTGATTGACCGGGTCGGGCCCGAGGAGGACATGGCTGACTGTCAAGCGTCGGAGGGCGGGCGCGACGAAGGAGGGGAGGAAGTACAGTTCATCAGGACTCGCAAAGTCCCACTCGGAGGCCCACATGTCGTAGATCGTCATTTCGTAGACACTCAAGATAAGCTGTTGGAGACGCGGCAGATTGATATCGGGCTGTACAGATCTGGGTCGTATGTCCAGAGACAGTTCACAGTAAATCAGATTAGGGGTCTGGTGAAGGACCGACGGGGACACATGCCGCTCCTTGCAGACCAGTGTGAGTGCCGTAAGCTGCTGCCACGGAAGGACGAGGCTGGGGGTATAGTAATCCAAGTCCCATAGGATCGCGGAACGCAGGAGAGGCGCGTCGATGTGCAGGATTTTCACGCTTCCACTGGCAGAGCGCTCACGTTCGGGCTGAAGATGCAATTCGAGGTGTTTGAGCTCCGGCCAGGTGACGCGTGCCGGGAGTTGAGATTTGCCGGCTACGAGGTGCAAGTACTCCAAGCGGTTTCGCTGCCTGGGCCGCGTGATGTGCGGCACGGCCAACCTGTGCGCTCCCGCGGAAAGGTGGGGGGATTGGACCGAAAGACAGCATTCACCAGAGCGCTCCAGCCATTCGGGTATCCAACCCGACCTCCCCGAGCGGATCGGGATCGCGCGCCATAAACTCCACATCGAAAGTGCGACGGCACGCCAATGGTGGCAGACGTGGCTCAATAGCGTCGGAGAGCCATACCCGCTGGGAGGAGGGGCCTCGGGATACTCCGGCAGGTACAGTTGGAAGATGTAGCTGGTTATTTCGTTCGGGAGAGTGAGAACTGGGTAGAATCCACGTCGTCGTCTCCGGGCCGCAGACGCGGTCAATTCAGGGGTTGGCTTCTTCATTGTGGCGTATTGGGAAGGATTCGCAAAGAGTGACTGCGCAAGGATGCCGGCAGTGGTAGTTCAATTTTGAGCTCGTCGCCGTTCCCTATAAAACTGCGTGTCACAACAGTCACGGCCAGCCAGTTACATCGTTATTCGACTTCAGTAACCGTACTTGCCAGATTGTACCATCCACTGAGACACTGTACACATTGATCCGGCAACTTGCCAGTGACTGAGAAGTTAGAACTTGAAACTACTGGTAAAGTAACTAAAGTCGGTTCGTATACTTAAGTACTTGGAGTTTGCTTGAAGTGCTCTCTGATAGCATGATGAATGTGTTCCGTCTAAGCCTTCACTGGCCCCGTTTCAGCATGGAGTTGAAATGCTGACAAAAAATCAGCAATGTCCCAAGGATAATGACCATCATGATGTAAACGGCTTACCAGCTAGGGGTGTGGTCAAAACCAACCCCGAGATATGACCAATCGCCGTGGCCCGTCTGCAATTGCATCATCAGTCCAGCCTGAGGAATGATTGCGCGAATCCAAGGTGACGCTTTGTATAGATTGGGACCAAGGGTTCTTTTCCTGTTCTGATGAAGTGCTAGTCGAACCGAGAATGCAAAGTTCGTCAAGCTTGCAACCCGACTTGTCGATGAAAGAGTTTATTGTGCTAACTGCATCGGGTTCAAGGAAGTCTTGTGCGACTTTCAATTGGCGAAGAGATGGAGTCACGAAAGAGCCGAGAAAATTACATAATGGGAAATGGTCAGATCGAAAGACAGTCAGAATGAGGTGTTGAAGATGCGGCAGATGAATATCGGAGTCATTGGCATGCTCTGAATCTTCCCAGAGACCGGATATCAAAGATAGCTCGCAGTAAACAAGGTTTGGCGTTTTTTGGAGGATAGGTGTGCAATCTTTCAGTGGCCTACATACCAGCGCCAGTACCGTCAGCTGATGCCACGGGACAGCCACGAGGAAAGATGCAGAAGCGAAGTGTGGTTCATCCCATAAAATCGTCGAACGGAGTAGCGGTGCATGAAGATGAGAGAGATTTTCGTGGCCTCTGATTGGCACAAATGATCGCAGCTCTAGGGAGAGTAGAGCAGGAAATGGATTCCGCATCAGGGCTTCGAGTTGGCTGCGAGTTTCGAATAAAAAGTAGAGGTGTTCCACTCGACCCCGCTCTTGGATGAGTTGCTCCATGACTGATTTGTGTATTGTGCAATAATCGAAGTCAACCTCTTGTGCTTGGAAGGAGATGTTCATTTTCCCCGCGCGCTTAAGCCATATGGGTATCCAACTCGATTTTGAATCACCGTCCCGTATCGGTATTGCTCGCCACAGAGTGGGCATCGAAAGTGCAATGGCACGCCAGTGGCGACACACGTGACCCAAAAGCGTCGGGGAGCCGTCGCCAGCGGGAGTAGGAGCAAGAGGATATTCCGGAAGGTATTGTTCGAAGATGTGGCCGGTCATTTCGTTGGGCAGACGGAGGATTGGGCATGACAAGTCTGGGCCTGACCATGGGAGACTGAGGAGTTCAGTTGCTGGCCCTGTTTCCATCGTGTTCTGGGAAAGGGACGGAGTGTGTGCGCATTTGCAGTGGTTCGAACGAGTGGTAGTTTGGATAACGACGGTGTCACAATTGCGTGACGGTCATGTCACGTATGTCACGCATTGCTCGTCGCAGCTCTTTCTCCCTCCATTGGAAGCTCACGCGCTCACAGACAATGGTACCTCTACACAGACAAATTCTCCCCTTGTTATGGATGCTGGCGCTCTGGTGGCTCCGCAACAGCATCGGACGTGGGCCAAGCTGTGCTCTTCCATCAAAAAATTCAATCCACCTTTGACGGACTTGTCTTTTTGCCAGTGTGCGTCTGCGGCTTCATATTTTGCACTACCAACCAACACATAATCATGATCCCCATAGCCAATCAATCTAAACAGCCTTTGCGTTGAGAATATGCGGATCCGTCTTCGCGTTCCCGGCGAAAGATCGAGTCCGGCAGACATGGAGCTGGAGCCCGAGCTGACTCTTTGCGCTTACGCCTCTCTAACGTGTTGGGCCGTCGGTGACCTCGATGGAAACCTGGTTGGGCCACTCGAGGCGGCGCATCTCGTGAAAACTGCACTGACAGACAATACTGGTCAAGGGAGCACACCAGATATAAAATGCGAGCGGTTGACTGCGCGGTGAGTCCTCACTTCCGCTTTCTCTTCTCTCCTTGCACGACTTCCATTGGATTTCTTATTTTATGTCTCAGGTGCTCGAAATACCACCGCCAAATTATAATGAATACCCGCCTTCTCATTTACCGCAACCTTCCACATCGACGTTACATTCAGCTTCCACCGCTGCGCCTGACCTACGAGTCGAGACCAAATCGCTGGTACCATCACGAGCACTATATGCCAGTCGAACTCCGCGCACACCTAGTCCTACCGAAGAAGAATGCAATCTTTTGCAGGGACTCAAGAGGGAAAGGACTTTGAAAGAGAAGATTGGTATGCGTCACCGTTTTGTCTTGAAGCCTAAATGTCTTAACACTGACTGCTATCCTACAGCAATATACACTGTCGGGGCCTCCTTGATCGCATTGACGCTCTGCGTTACCGTGTTCTCCAAGAAAGTAGTCAATGCTTTGAACCCTGAGACCAGCTGGCTACGCGCGTGCGTTTTTTCTCTTTCTAATCCAATATCGAGATTAAACCTCAACTGTCAGGCATCCCGCTGGCGCGCTGATCCCCATCGTCTTACTCGTTGTGGCGTCGTTTCCCCCACTCGTCGGACACGAGGTTATTGCTATGATTGTTGGGATTACCTGGGACCTCGGGCCGGCCTTTGCTATCACAATAAGTGAGTGATTCCCCATTCGGTCATCCATTCAAGTTGTATTGATTGAGACTAGTTGGTATAATGCTTGGAGAAATTGCCAACTTTCTCGTCTTCAAATACGCTTGCATGTCCCGCATCCAGAAATACCAAGAGAAGAGCCTGGATTTCGGCTTGTTAGCCTATGTTGTCCGTCGAGGGGGGCTCCTGATGATAGTTGTCATCAGGTACAGTGCTATGCCGCCACATTGTAAGATTCCCTCAGCAAGGAGTGGGTGTGCACTCTTCTTATCACCCATTCAGATGCAACATCCGTCTTTGCAACAGTCGGCGTCTCCTTCTGGACTTGCCTCCTCGGCGCGGTTATATCGCTGCCGATTAGGGTGATGTTCGTGTACACCGGTTATGCCATGAAACCAGCGGTTTCCGGTTAGCAACATTGCTTCTATACCGCCAGTTGGCTGATTCTTCTTGGTGTAGACAAGCAGGCCACAGACATTGTGGAGGACGTCATTCTTGGTGTAAGCATTCTGGTGACAATTGTAGCGTACAAGTGGTCGCAAAGACAGCTGGAGGCGGCGAAGGAAGGGTATGTCTATGAGCGCAGGAAGCTGCGACAGGCGAAGATGCTGCATTCAGACCGGGGCTTATTTACCATCGATCTATAACTTTTATCTAATCTCACACATCAACGATATCGATTGTGGCATCAATCACTCTTTGACAAATACCACAACATGTCCACCAAAGAAAGCCGCGCGACGGACCGCACGCGGATTGCGGCCCTCAACCAACAAATCCAACAACTTGTTACGGAGAAGGAAGCTCTTCAGAAACGTCTGGACGCCTACAAATACCCGATTCTGACACTGCCCAACGAAATAATGGCGGAGATTTTCCAGCATTGCCTTCCCGCTCCGCCCCACTCTCCGCCGCCGTTTGGACCGGGTTCTCCAACAGTGCTGACCCATGTTTGCTCTCTCTGGAGACAAATTGCACTTGCAATGCCAGGATTGTGGTGCTCCATTTCGATGGATTCCGCGCCAGATACGTTGATATCATGCTGGCTGGAGCGCTCCGGGACGAAGCCGCTCTCCATACAGACGAACAACATGCTCGACTCGGTCGAGTCGTCGCTTTTGCACCACTTTCGCCCCCACCAAGCACGTTGGGAGACAATTCAGCTGCGCGTTGACTCACAATCGTTGTCGACCCTCTTGCTCCCCATGCCCCTCCTCCGCCACATCGAGCTCGACGGGCAGGATGTTCCCGCGGGCACACGTATCACAGAGGTTCCCGCACTCCGCTCGGCCATTCTCTGGGAGTTTGACCAACATATGGTCCTCCTTCCCTGGCAGCAACTCACGTCGTTAGCGCTAATCAGCACGACCCCAGAAGAATGTACTCCTATTCTTCAAGAGGCTATTCAGCTCATAGTTTGCGAACTCGTGCTCACGGGAGCTTTACCGGACGACCAACCACAGATCACATTGCCTGCTTTGGAGCGCCTTACCCTGACACACTATCTGTTCACGGAGGAGCCTGCGCCTACAGGTTTTCTCGAATTTTTTTCTGCTCCTTGCCTCAAACGGCTCCGCATCGTCAACCGCCTCATCCCACCTAGCTCCCTCGAGCGCCTCCTGGAGAAGCACGACAATATAGAAGAGATTTGTATTCTCGGAAAGCGAGGCCACGGTATGCCAACGCGGCAAGTACAATATGCGAGCCAACACCCTACAATCAAGTTCACCTTAGAAGAAAACCTGGACGAATGGTTTGAGGACATGGAGGCGGACCAGACGCGCATGGCGATGCGCCGCCTTCGCAGCTTCATTGAGATCCCGCTTTTCGAGTAAAAGAGGCTTCACAGCGCTTCTTGAGTGCCTCGTTCATCGCCCGTATCGACCTCCCCAAATCGTCCTGCATTGTCTTCGTCATCAGCTGCCCCAATACTCCGCCCACACCCGACACAACGTCCACCTGCGTCTTCTTCCCTCCCTCCAGATCGGTAAAGCGGTACACTCTCACTGTTCGGAACAGCAACGGCAGCGTGTTCGCGCCCCAGGTCAGATGTGACCCCTTCTTGATGCTTGAAAGGGTCTCTACCATGTTCCGTGTAGGGATTGTGTCGTCCAACGAGGGTGGGATATGGAGTCGAAGCGACAATCGGTCGCCAGCAGCCAATGGTGCGCCGGCGAGGAGTGGTGTTTTGTCAGCGGCGAGGGGAGTGCATGCGCGCCAATACGGATTCCTGGCCAAAAACGTTAGCCAAATCAATTGTGGACTGAGAGAATTAAGAAATTTACCAACCATTCTGGATAGGCCTTGAAGTCCACAAAGACATCCCACACTTGTGGTCGCGGCGCGTCTATGACCACGGACGTAAAAATGTGGACGGGCCACTCTGAGGCACTGGGCAATGCCGGTAGCTAGAGGATATTGGATGTACCATTTGCGAGGGCCGGAAGAGCTGGATGGAAACAAGTGTAAGAAGGGCGACAAGGAAAGATCCCTGCCAAATGCTAAGCGTGAACTTTTCAGCCAGTGTCGGAAACTTGTTAGAGCGCCTTAATAGAGAGTGTCCTTCTTAGACTTTATTTATAATGGGCTACCTGCACACGGCATCAACGACGCGTTTCCCCGGCCGACGACCTCCATCGGCGAGCATGATGTAGATCCGTCGGACATCCAAATTCCCCCAAATGGCGTGGAATGCGTGCTGGTGAGTCGAACCGTGTATCAGTTAATATTCAATCCAACGCCTTGCTTCAAGCATGAGCAATGTCCCGCAAGATGCTATGTAAAACCCTTATCGGTGTTTATAAACCGGGAGTCCAACGAATTCAAGTACCGAAACCAGATTGAATTCAATAACTGTGTGGAAATTGTAGCATCCCAGAAAAAAAATAGATTCCATCCGTTAGAGAGGTATACTAATCAGTGTATGTCTGCACCATCAGGCACATAACAATACCCAGGAACTACACGTAGACATGACGACGTAAACGTAAAATCGTGGACAGTGAAAGGAGAGTGGGCGTGGAGATAGTTTGGGGTGAGCTGATTTGCGCGCGTTCACCCGAAAGCACAGCGAGACGCGCGCTTTTGGAAAGCATTATCGCTTTACTCCTCAACAGGAACCTCCTCCTCGTATTCGCCTTCCTCATCGACGCTGAACAATCGATTAAGAACGAAAACATTGGGGGAAAAGGGGGAGATACGCACGTTGCATCTTGGTATTGCTGATATTCGGCGACAAGATCTTGCATGTTAGATTCGGCTTCCGTGAACTGGACAAGACGTTAATCAAGAGTCCGTCTTTGAGAATCCAAAAATCTACATACCTCCATCTCGTCCATGCCCTCTTGTGTGTACCAATGCAAGAAGGCCTTGCGCTTGAACATGGCAGTGAACTGGTCCGAAACACGCTTGAACAGTTCCTGAATGCAAGTCGTGTTGCCAATGAACGTAACAGCCATCTTGAATCCCCGCGGCGCAATATCACAGTGGGCAGTCAGGACGTTATTGGGAATCCACTCGACGAAGTATGCCGAGTTTTTGCTCTGCACATTCTGCATCTGCTCTTCCACCTCCTTCATGGCGACTTTGCCGCGGAAGACGGCAGCAACGGTGAGGTAGCGTCCGTGTCGGGGGTCAGAAGCAGCCATCATGTTCTTTGCGTCGAACATTTGCTGGGTGAGTTCGGGGATACTAACTGCGCGGAATTGGGCACTTCCACGAGCAGTAAGAGGGGCAAAGCCTGTCATGAAGAAGTGTAGACGGGGGAAGGGCACTAATGAAGCGTTAGAAGTAGATCAGAAGAAAAATTAGCCTAGGCTCACCCATGTTGACCGCAAGCTTGCGAAGGTCAGAGTTAAGCTGACCAGGGAAGCGCAAGCAGGTGGTGATGCCAGACATCACACACGATACAAGATGGTTGAGGTCACCATATGTGGGGGTCGACAGCTTCAGTGTGCGGAAGCAAATATCATAGAGAGCCTCGTTATCGATGCAGAACGTTTCGTCCGAGTTCTCGACAAGTTGATGAACCGACAGAGTCGCGTTGTAGGGCTGCAAAAAGCGATGAGAATTTGCAGAGCTGCCTCAAAAGAGATCTCACCTCAACGACGGTATCAGAGACCTTGGGACTGGGCACGACAGAGTACGTGCACATCATGCGGTCAGGGTATTCTTCGCGGACTTTGGAAATGAGCAATGTACCCATTCCAGAGCCGGTACCACCACCCAACGAGTGGGTGATCTGGAAGCCTGGCCATATTTGGTCAGAAAAGATACTACCGGCAAAAGAGACAAAGACACACCTTGCAAGCAGTCCGTACCCTCAGCCTCCTTTCGCACTACATCCAACACAGAGTCAACGAGCTCAGCTCCCTCTGTGTAGTCTAAGAAAGAGAGAAATCAGTGTCAAGTGCGAAGAATAGGGGCATGTGGTGAATACTCACGTCCTTTCGCCCAGTTGTTACCAGCGCCGTTTTGGCCAAAGACGAAGTTGTCTGGCCTGAAGAGCGTTCCCAATGGGCCCGAGCGGACGGAATCCATGGTGCCGGGCTCGAGGTCGATGAGGACGGCGCGAGGTACATACTTGTTGCCGCCGACTTCGTTGTAGTAGACGGAAATGCGCTCGAGCTGCTGGTCGTTGGTGCCCGAGTAGACACCGTCGCCCCCGATACTGTGCTCGTCAGAAAGCACCTCCCAGAACTTGGCACCTGAAAGAGGATGGTTAGAAAGAGAGAAGGAAGAGCAGGGACGCGTTGGGAGACTGACCGATTTGGTTGCCACACTGGAGAGGAACGAGCCCGTCGTCAGCAAATGGGGCTACGACAAAGAGTGGGTGCTCCTACCTGGCCGGTTTGGAGGTGGACGATTTCACGCATGCTAGACGAGAAAGATGAGTTGAGGAGAATGAGCAACGCGACAAAGAGGGGCACGGACTCTAGCAAGCTGGAAAGAAGAAGGTCGAGGTAGGGAACAAAAGTTGCACCACTTGATTTTGATGTCGGCTAGCGACCAAAGGGTCGTCACAGAATGGAAGAGATAAAGACATGCAATGCGAGGTATACATGGTGAGTCTGTAGCTACGGTCCGTCTTCCAATGTCCATAAAACTACTAAAGCAAACAAGCGAGAAAGCAAATGGTCAGACAGCAGCAGTGTGTAAAATAGAGTCAATGTCGATCCTTCCCAAATCACCTATCAGACGGGGTCCGACTAACGGGTCTCGACATCCGTTTCCCATATCCAGAGTTGGGATCCAACTCAGCGATCTCCAAGGCTGCATCCTGAGCAACTTGAGTAGACGATAGGTGGCCCTCTCTTCTTCCCAACAACGACATCATCGCGTCGTCCGGTCCACGGAATCCGGTGTCCTCGTCAGCATAGTCTTCAGCTAGAATAGCACCAGTCCGCTTGTCCAAATAGAATCTAAGACTGTCCAGTTTCTTCTCCAGCGTTGGGATATCGTCATAACTGCTCGTTGTTATCAACATGTCCCATGTTAAAACCAAAAAACAACACATACGGTAACAAGAGTTCGCCAAATCCAGACCGGGCAGTGAGTGCGACGGTTCCAGCAATCGTCCCGGGCGGCGCAGTGAGATACATATTCCGTCGTTGTCGGTGGTGGATAAGATGAAGGAACACTCCCAAGAAGCCAGAGCCGAAGAGTAAAAATGCGAGGACGTGACCTGGGAAAGGACTGGAGCGAGGTTAATTTGTTTCGGAAAGAGCCAAAAGAAGGCATACTCAATCCATAATCGGAGCACTAACGACTCCTGGACGGCAGGAAGGGTGCTGTTCTGGCTAACGAAGTAGATTGACTTCGCCGTTACCGCAAGATGTTGACGCTGCATGTCACAATCAGAAATGTACACGAAAAAGAAAAAGGCTGAACCTACATAGATTTTACTGGTCTGATCCAAAAAGCCATTTGGCAAATCAAATGTCGCCTGTAATCCTGTTTGCAGAGCCGAACGAAATATGGCCCCAGGGACACCAACATGCGTGCCGTTCGCTCGCGCTTGAATGAATGGGTCATTTGAAGGGTTAAATATGACTCTGGCGAAAACGATCAGAAATGACCGCCAGAAGTAAACATCACCTACGCATTATAAGGAATGCCATTTATTGGGTCACCAGATATATTGGTGGGTTTCGTGTAGTTATTCAGAGGGGTTACACCGATGAGCTGTCCGCTGGACAAATCAGCCTTCGCATTGATTTGGAACAACTGCATGGATGGATTGCAGAAAACTGTCTTGAGCTGGGGCGTGTTGTTATTATCAAGATTCTGATAGAACCAAAACACCACAGGTTGGAAGGTCACGTTGCGTGTACCGGTATTGCCGCAGTTCGGGACGTTGGAGACACCATATTGTCGTTGGGAGACACTGGGATCTATCGTGACATTTCCCACACATCCGTCAACGGAGGTCGAAGAAATGAGAGCCGTGGTAGTGTTGGTGCGCGTGAACAACGGCGGAGCATTCTAAAGTATGATTAGCAGTAATAGAAATTTGATCATCGCCACTTACTGGGTTGGCACAGTTCGGGTTAGTTTGGATACCAGTCGTATTGACGGTCATGGTACCATTCAAACCTGTGTCGGTTGGAAACTAGGCGAGAAGTTTGGGTGAATACAATAGAGCGGGAGCGTCAATGATCACATACAACGAACTGAGCGGTGGACCAGCCACCCGTCACAAATGGCGGGTCGCCCAGATCATTGAAAACCGCTGCTTGGACATACTACATTCCCATCAGCAATGATCATCGCAATCTGTGACACTTACTCCAGCAGCAGCAGCGAAAGCGTTGAGTTGGTCGACATCAGGGTCGAGCCCAAGCCATCGTATGCTTTGCGCTTCGTGGTCTGCCAAACATATAAATCACAAGTAACTTGCAGCATCATGGAGTCGTACTGTTGATCTCGCTCCGTGTTTGAAGTTGGAATATAGATCCAGCAAGAGACTGGTAAAGGTACGTAGTAGTCGCAAGGAAAGAGGACCAGAAAATAACACGGTGGTTATACTTGAGCGCGTGGAACATGGCCCATGTGGGTCCCAAGGCAATCTAAAATAACTTGGTCGGTATGCATGAATAGAAGGATCAAAGACCACGCACATAGTCCAGAAGCACGCTCTCTTCTGCAGTGGCATTCCCTCTTGACATGACAACATACGGCTATAAAAGTTTAGCGTTAGTCAAGACAGGCAAGCGTCGACTCACCTGAAACCAGCGAAGCATCCAGTCCAGTGATCTCCAAAGATAGCCAACCGGAAGCACGAATCTGAATGCTTACAGTCAGACAAGACAGCGAGCGCATGGCAACCACGACATACAGGCCAGGGAAGAATGCCTAGACATGGTGCATGTGTTAGTGTTTTAACCTCCGGTGCAATACCAGCAAACGCACCAACAAAAATTGGGTAGACACTACAGAGAATACATTTCTCTTGGGGACGGCGAATCCTGACGGCGTTTTGAGTACCCAGCCACCACGGAAGACCGCGCCATACCTCCATTCTTCTCAGAGAGCTCAATTCTAGGCAAAGTCAAGATCGAGTTCTTTATTCGATAGTAGCCACACGCACCCGACTTCGAGAGCAATCCCCAAACATAACATTAACAAGGGTGTGCCGATTGCAACTGGTAACCAGAAGTACGGTGGGTCCTATACAGTCGTTTAGCGAGGTAGACGGCGTCTAAACCGGTGGCGACGAACATATCGTTTCGGGCGGTTTTTCTCCGCAGGCGGCGTTGGTATAAGGTGGGTCGATTCTCGGTAGCGCTTCGACGCAGTGCTGAAGCGGGTTTCGCTAATGGAAAACGGCGCCGTGGGCGACCCAACCTTTGTTGGGTCGGAAAAGAGGGATGTGGTAGGAGGCATGATTGCAAGCGAAGCGCACTGCCGTTGCACGCGCCGGCCTTTTCTGTCAATCATCACGCGTTGTTGGGCAGGATTGCATTCCAAATCGGGCAGCGGCCGATCTGAAAACGAACGCTTGCTCTTGTTCTTTCACCGCTGACCGAGGACTCTCAGAGTACGCTCAGGGATTTCTCTTTTTGCATAGGCTGAGCATAGTCTTGCACAGTGACGCACTTGGCTCGTCTATTGTCCTTTTCCGTGTGGCCGTGCGCCGTGGGAATCAAACCTGTGCATGACGCTCACTTGTCAGTCTCGGGTTGGAAGGCATGTTTTGACGTCGAAAAGGCCGTTAATATCCGACCCTGTATCCAACCTAATCGACACGGATAAGAGTCAAATCCATCGATATCGCACCTTCGAAAAACATGGTCTCTCAAGCGCGAAAAGTGGGTATAGGAAATGAAGCACTGCCAACTTGAATCACTCCTTGAATGGTAAAAGCACTAAACATGTTGGATGTTGACCCGCTCGTCATACCCCTCGGCCAATATCCTTGCCTGCCGTGCCTTTCTGCGCTCATAGATATACCCTTCGCGTGCAGCTTTGCTCTCCTTCTGGAGCCATTTGTATGCAACGATTGTGACGATGATACCCAGCGCAATGACCACATCCTCCACAACGGTGGTAAGTTTCTGACCTGTTTCGTGATAAATGCCATTTCTTCACCTGGAAAGAAACATATCTCACCAGAAACACCCGGCTTCATCGCATACCCAGTGTAAACGGGAACAAATTGTTTCGGTAGGGAGATAACTGCAGCCAGAAGGAAGATCCAAAACGAAATTCCGACGGTAGAGAACACGACCGTTGCGTCTGGGGGGAAGTTAGTAGCAGAACAGATCGCGGAGACGTCATCATAGGCGCACAATGTGGTGGAACGGCGCTGAACCGGATAACAACAATCATGAGGAGGCCGCCCCGACGAATAATGTACGCCATCAGGCCGAAGTCCAAATTCTTCTGCTCATACTTTCGCATGCGGGTCGTGCAGGCGTACTTGAATACCATGAAGTTGACTACCTCGCCGAGGATAGTTCCAACTATAAAGGAGGATGAGAACATGACACGATACCGTGTCGTATAACTCGAACTTACTCGCTGTTATGGCAAAGGCTGGCCACAAGTCCCAAGTGATTCCGACAATCATGGCGATAATTTCATGACCAAATAGTGGGGGGAAGGATACGATGATGAAGAGAGCGATGGGTATTAGTGGACCCACAGGATGCCTTGATTCCAATTAGTCAGTTTAAGAGCCTGGAGTTGAAATAAACCGACGTACGTGCGCATCCAGGTACTTTCCGGATTCAGAGCTTTGACGATTTTCTTGGAAAATACGGCGATGCACACAGCTAATGCAACGATTAGCGCGATTATAATATACATTGCTGTTCAATATAAGTAAGAATTTGAACACAAAGCAGTCGAACCACGCACTGATTTTCTCTGAGCGTTTTCTCTTTCTTAGTAATACCATGTAAGAGATTGAACTCCTCCTGTGTTGGACTGGGGGTTCGTGGCATATTGACATCATCTGGGCCAGCCAAATTGGAAGTGTTAACTTTGAGGTCTGTAGTCGAGTCCGACCCCAGATAGAGGGTCGATTCCGAGGAGTCTGACGTCTTGCGAGAGTGGGAAGGAGGATAGCGGCCATACACCGGGTGTGGCACTTCGAGTTGTTGGGACATGGTTGGTAATGCAGAAGAACCAAAGGTGGACAGCGGTCCCTTTAAATATGCGGCACGATTCCGTTACTTGAAGCACGGCACCGAGATTCTAAAAGCTCCAAAGAATAGCTGTAGCATTAAATCCTGGTGCAGTCCGCATTGCGTCCGTCCGCAGTAAGTCGTTATCACACTGCAACTGCATTGGAGCGTTATTGTCGACGTTTAATTTTAGAGCTTGAGTTCAGCTTGTACTAAAAAGCAGCGATCCAGCTAGAGCTTCCGACGGATCTGCGAAAAGTGGTGTAAACACCATGAGGTAATATACTTGTGGGCTCTTGCGGGCACTTGAGATAGTATTGTCTTCAGCGAGTCGTGCACTTGAACGCCGGTCGTTGATCATGAGGGATGTTAGTCTGGGATGTTGTTGTTGACTAAGTCCAGTAGCAAGGAGTAAGTAACCTTGTGACTGATCGTGGCTTCTGATTCGATCAAAATCCGGCAAGCCCTCTCTTCAGCACCGTCCATGTCGCAGCCTCCCATAAGGCCTTACTCTCGCACCCAGGCCGCTGGCCTCATTTGCATCTGCAAACGTGTATCGGAAACACCCTTCGACCGTTGCTCAGGCTGCAAACGAGTCTTTTATTGTTCTACCTCTTGTCAGACAGCGGACTGGCAAAAGCACAAGCGGGAATGCAGATTGCTAAAAGCGGTCAACAAGTACGATGCGACGCGTGGACACACCGCCGTTGATTTGAGCACTCGCCTTGAGTATTTCGTTGAAGAGATGGTGGATATATGTGCGACTTTGCCTGCGGGTTAACCTGATTCTCCGATAGAATTCTCGTCTCCGTAAAATTGGCCCATCTGTTGGCTCCGACTACGACCACCGTCATCCAGATATCATCAGGTCCCTTTTTTCTTTGCTGCGTCTGCCTGAGGTTTGCTTATCCCTCCCCAGCTACGGTCAAAAATGTCAAGTCTGCTTTCGAACCCCATTCCACGGTCCAGAGGGTGTTTTGACACCATGCCCGACCTGTCAACTCGCGTGGTGGTGCTCTCCAGAATGTGGCGCAATCTTCACCCAAGTTGCACATACATCCCAACATTGCAAAGCGCTCACGTTGGTCCATGCCGTCGATTCTGTCAAGACAGCATATTTGAAAGCTCGTGGCACGGGACAGCATCTAATGCTGAGAACCGAAGTCCCTCAGCGCGTTTACACTCCGCCGTCGTCGTTAACCGGATGGGATGACTACAAAAGCGAGCTATTTCCCGACTTCGACTTCGCTGCCGAATTCACTTCCCAAGAGTTCAGTCATATACACCCCAAGGCTGCCCTAGCGGTCGAGGCAATGGCTATCGATTCGAGCAGCATCGTTCTCACCCTTTTACACGCTCTTGAAATTGTGCTTCCGGATCTTGAAACACGCAGAACGCTTTGCATACACGTTTTATGGTCGGGAGAGCGTGATCTAGAAACTCAGGGCATGACGGAGGAGCTTCTCCACTTCCTTCCCTTTCTTCAAACGGTCACAGTGGTGTACGTCGGGCTCCAGGTTGTGCCCATGTTTTGGCGGGGGGATGATACGAACCTCGCATGTGAAGTCTGCACGCGCAACGGTCGCAGTCGTCACTCGCTCCGTCGTACAGCGACATACCACAATTTCATCTCGTCCGAAACAAGCCACCAAAATCATCCCGACCTCGTTGCTGGCTTTAATCCCAGCCGCGGCCAGATGGAGTCCGAAGAATGGAGGGCTAGTATGCAGGCCGTCATCGACAGCGGGGTGCCTGCAGTCTTTACTGCTTACTCGCTCCCACTCGCCAATCTGCATATCTCTCTTCTTGAGGCTTGCAACCCCTTTTATCTCCGGGATGTCGAGAGAAATATTTGGCGCGGTATGGTTCCAAAGCCGAGAGAACAAGATGAACTTGCTATGATAGAGGCCAGTCATTATACTAACAACTACTGGTTTATGATTCGCGGTGCCGCAGAAGCTTCTTAACTAACTACTTACCTATCTATACTGCTATATAATATGTACCACTTTGTGAATTTCAATTTTGGGGAGTGTTCTTTCTTGAGCTCTCTGGATCTGCGGTATCGCGGCCTGCAGTAGTATAGATGCGCAAGTAAACATGCAAGCATTCAAAAAATAAGATCGATTTCTAATCGCTTTCGAAGATTTATGTTGTCCGGAGCAAGTTTTACGCGACGCGACGCGGTTCTGATGAACACGTGGACGCGTCTGCGTCAACAACATTCTGTTCTCTTCTTCCATGGACTTCCCGCCCAAAACCTGGATAACCACGGTCTGTCGAACCCAAGCGGCATGTCTGGTGTGCACTCTCTGCTACCGTATCTCACCCGTGGCGCTGTCGAAATGTAGTGGCTGCAAACGCGTTGTTTACTGTAGCAAGACTTGCCAGAGCCAAGATTGGAAGGAACACAAGTCGATATGTAAAAAGCTGGCCAAGGTCAATGCCTACGATGCGGCCAAGGGCCACACTCTGTCGGATCTCAGCCAGCGGTTTGAGTATTTCATCGCAGAACAGGTGGAGTCGTTCGTTCCTCTTTTATTTGGCCTTCACATTGAATGCACATAGGAAGCCCGCGCCAGGATCGATCTGACTGGATCTCCCTACCAGCATCCTCTGGTTGGGATGGGAGTCAAATGCCAAGTCTGCTTTCGGACGCCGTTTCACGATTCCGAACACACCTTCAGCCCATGTGAGGATTGTAAACTGGCCTGGTGGTGCTCCCCCAAGTGCCGAAAGCTCTTCAAGCAGTACCACTCCCCGGATCAGTGTGCGACCCTGAACACCGTTCGGGCAACAGACACTGTCCGGATCGCGTATGCTTTGTCTCGCCAGTCAATTCGAAGCATGATGCTCTGCACGTACAACCCACAAAAACGGCACACTCCGATCGCGAGACTGAAGGGCTGGGACGACTACTTCACCGACATCATGCCCGAATTCGACATCCATGCGCGCCATGTCGCTGCTGAGTTTACTGCTGTCCACCCAGACGCGATTCGTGCCGTCAAATTACTCGCAATCGAAAGTGCTAGTATTGCACTCACGCTCTTGGCCGCTCTGGAGAAGACGATCCCTGATGTTGGCTACAGGAGCCGCACAACCCTTTGCATCCACATCATCGGCGCTGGGAGTCGGGAAACATTGTGCCAGGGAATAATGGAGGAAATCATGCATTATCTTCCCAATCTGCGAACGCTCACGGTTGCCTATGTCGGCCCGGCCCTCCCGCCTAATGCAGACGACTCAGACACGCGCAACGTTGTTTGCGAGAGCTGCATTCCTCTGGGACGCCGACGTTTCGCGATCCGGAGGCATATGCTCTACCATGACTTTGTCCAGTCAGAGACATATAAATCTCACCCGCCTGACCTTGTCGCGGGATTCAACACTGGGATGGGCGAGGTGGAGTCCGACCTGTGGAAACCCTCTATCCAGTACATTTTGGATAGTAACATTCCGGCCGTGTTTACCTCGTATTCGCGTTGGGAAGGCCTTAACGACGCACTGTTCTTGACGGGTCTTCACGCTTACTTTGTTCTGCCTGTGCACAAAAACATCTGGTGCGGACTGCTCCCCAACCCCTCCGAAGTTAGCGAGCACTACGGGGCAGAACACTTTGTAAACCATTTCTGGCAGGTCATCCAAGGCACGACTACTAGCTAGGTATGAATGTAAAGTAGGTATCGTCCGCGGTGTCTACATTTGAGTAGTCCAAGAAAAGTCATGCGTTCAAAAATCTAAGTGATGGTGATGTTCCCACTCAGTCTGAAGTCGCGTGAGCTCGTGCCAACTGACAGGCCAATCGTCCCGTTCGGATGGCGCCAGCCCTGTGCGACCGTGTCCCAATAACTGAGGTCGTATCGTGAAAGCGTCAGCGCAACTTCGGCGCTCTCCCCCGGCAGAACCTCGACGTTGGTGAAGCCTTTCAGGATCGAAGGCGGTTCGCCAGCCGAGGCCGGGAAGTGGAGATATAGTTGCGGAATCTAGAGGTCAAGTTCAGTACAGGCCACAGCTTCCACAACCATACTTACATCTCCACCCCAGAGTGATCCACTGTTCTCGACATCGAATGTGATTGTATAGAGCGGGCGATGGAGCCTGCACAAAATGTTAGCAAATCACTAGCTCCAACCCGAACAAGCCATACCATGGTGCCGCAGACGACCCCGTCGCAATCGGCGTCGCCTTCCCCGCAGCCCACGCCTTCTGCAACGCGGGCTCAGTCGATCCTTGGCCGCCCACCTTCGCAATGCGCAGATTGCTATACGTGAAGTTCGTATAGCTCAAGCCAAAGCCGAACTCGAATCGCGGTGTGATCTTGGCGCTGTCGAAGTGGCGGTAGTCAATGTTGAGCCTGCAAAAAAAGTCAGAAGTGGAATCAATGAACAAGTAGCATGTACCCTTCAGTGTATGGAATTGCCAGAACGTCGTTACCCGAGCCACCGGTGATAAGAGGAGCAGAGTAGTCGGACATCTGTTTTGCAATCGTATAGGGCAAACGACCTGACGGATTCCAGTCGCCATACAAAATGTCCGTGATGGAGTTGCCCGCTTCTTGTCCAGGAAGTCCTGCCCAAAGAACCTGGAAAGATAAGCAAGGAACCATCAAGATGGAGGATGGCATACGGCAGAAACATTAGGGTGTTCGATCCACGGCTCAAGGATTAAAGGTCCGACCGAATGCACAATCACGATGGTGTTGTTGTTCTGTGCTGCGACTGCGAGGACAAGGTCGTCGCCGTCATGCCACGCGGTCAAGTTTTTGCTGTACCAGAGGATGAGTTATAGACCAATATTGAAAAAAGCCATACCGGTCACCCTCATTTCCATCGACGGTGATGTAGTCTTCACCAGAGTCGGACGAGATGAAAACCAATGCAGCAGAACGACCAAGGGCCATATTTCCAGCCCTATTACGATTGAAATCGTCAAGTATCCATGAAACCGAGGTCCGATCCTTCCGTGCGCGTTGCTGAATAGCTTCAAGGGGCTAAAAGACTTGATTGAGTACAACCCAGTATTTGCAACGTCAACATACCGAGACGAGGTACGTGAAATTTGACGTCCCAGAACCCCATCCCATGGCAAGAATTCCATCCAAACCGCCCTACAACATATTAGCTCGCTATTTCAAGCGGCAGATAACAAACCTGATCGGGGAACTGGTTGGGTCCTATTGTTCCAGGTCCAGCATCACTTCCAACGAGCACGATACTCCGTGGTTTGTTCAATGGTAACGCGTTGTTCGTATTCTTGAGTAAAACCGTACTGGCGGCTCCAATCTTGCGCACGACCTTATGGTGGTCTTCTTGGACGTCAATATGTTCATTGGTCTCCTCGCTATCGGGCTTGAACGCGTCAAAATTCGTTGGCGGGAAGTTGCCTGCATCTTGGTGAAGCAAGTACCAGCCAGCGATAACTCTGGTGGCTAGAGAAATGTAAAACTAAACGTATATGAACCCTTGGAAGCGACATACCCATATCATCCAAACGAGCTTGCGCTATGGTATTATTTTGGACGTAAGCAGTGAGATTTGCGCCAAAGTACTACAGGAGAGTCAGCAAAAGTTTATAGGGGCCCATAAACATACTGTTGTCCCAGACTGGAAGGTTATATCACCAGGCATCGTCATCTGTTGTAACGGTCAGCTAGACAGTATTGATACGACAAAGCACCGACATCGAGACCAGTTGCCGCAGACATTGTCGAATGGGTAGCGCCCCAATCCGACATGATGTCTTTCGTTACATGAGCATCTTCTGACATCCAAAGAGTGCGAGCTTACAGCCCTGGAACCCAAATTCTCGCTATAATCGGGGTCAGTCAAGATGCAGAAGGTGTAATGATTGCCTACTTTGATGATATCGTTCATGATCTTGTCGTTTTCGCAAGCGTATGTGCCATTAATGAGATCTGTCTGTGCTTCAGACTTGCGCTTATTCAAAGCATTGAATACTTACTGTAGCTGCACATAATGCTGTTATAGACAATTGTTAAACAAAGATTTTGTGGGCAGAACGCGACTCACGAGGCAACACCAGCCATGATACTGCGAAGGAATGGATGGGCGTAAATTTCGTGTTGAGTTCGATCATCGACGTCAGAGCTTGACTGTGTTCGGAAGTGCTCTTGTTCGCTAGAAACCAACAATTAGGCCTCGTCATATTAGTTTAGGGAAGCTCCCTTACTTATTGATCAGATGCTTCGCACACGCCTGAACTCCGCCCTCTTGCATGCCGAGGATGGTTTCATATGCGACTTCGCCGGTGAGATATGGATCAGCGCCGAAGCCTTCCCAGTTTCGTCCGCCTTGCGCAACCCGACCCATGTTCATCATTGGCCCTAGAGCGACATGAACACCCTTTCCAACGTTTTCGCGACCCATGAATAGACCACGTCGTCGGATGAGCTTTCGGTTGAAGCTGAGATTGGGAATGAGGTCATAGGCGGGGTTGTGGGACCGAAACTTACGTTGCAGCCGCGTTTATACCGGCAGGGAACGAAGTTACATAGTCAGCGAAGCGAACACCTGAGGGAGGTCAGAATATGACGCGTTGAGACTGAGATTTGACGGACCTAATGGCGAATCCTGCGTGGTTTGAGTATGCAAGAGAATATTCACAAGAGGAAACACACCTCAAGACAAAGACTCGGGAACTTGGTGCCGTTGTCGCCAATCGGAGGCGTGTTTCCCTTTACGAGCGTAAAAATCGCAACATGTGGATACCGTGAGGCCACATACAACACAACGACCACCCATCCATCCAACCCCCGTGCTTACACTGACCTTCTCCTCGATAGAGAAGTTTGAAATCTAGTAGTGACGCATGGTCATCGATAGCGACCAAACTCGACACGCGACGGACCTTGTTCTTCGCCTCCTGGTAGGCAGCAGCCCATGCTTGCGAAAAGTCAGGGATGAGGGAAGAGCCAACTGGAGGTGGACTTCGCGGGTCAGTGAGAGGGTAAACGCCGGATACAGGTGCTTGAGATGGGACGGAAAATGGCGTAAATGAGGACTGGGAGATGGGGATTGTAATGACTGATTCCGTTGAGGCAGGGCCGGCGTTGGTTGCAGCACCTGTGACAGCAGGGCCTATTGCTTGTTGTCCCGCGACTCGAAGCGCTAGTATTAAGAAGGGTATAATATGGTTGCCTGGCGGCATGGTGGGCATTGTGGAGAGAGGTGGAGAAGTCTGGCCGGCGAAGTCATTAGGTCATCCTCCGATCAATTGAAGTCTGCGCTTGGCGATCTCTTCATCGTCCTGTTAACCAGGAATTGGATTGTGTGTTTGTGGGTTTGTGAGTGGCAACATTGGTATGGTAGCGCTGGCGTCGAAAGTTGAACATACACACGTCCAACACCAAAAATAATGTCATGGACATGTCACGATTGTTCTTATCTTCAACTTGCAAGTCCAAGGGCTAGCTACGTTGTCCATTCCTCTTGGCAATCACCTTCCAGCTCAATCGAGTCAGGCAATATTCTGGGTACGCGCTGCAGATGACGCCCGCATCTACGAGATCGAAGAGAGAGAAAAACGTCAGCGGCCTTCGAATCTACTAGTAAAAACAAAATTTATCGTACCCCGGCTGCCTCGCCCATGCTCACGCTTGCCAACGAGCTGACTTGCGAAATCTTCCGACAATGCTCGCCGCTCTGTCTTGAGATTCCACTGCTAGTCGAACCAGCCTCACTTCTTGCCTCTGTTTGTCGAAGCTGGCGACAGTTATCTCTATTCCCTCGTTATGACGGGCCCGGGCAATTTGCCTAGACGGTAACTGGGTCTCCACTTTCATCCCGCACTATGCCCAAATACCACTGTTTCTTTCGACCAACAGCCTAATTCCACTCAAAATACAAGCCAACACGTTCCATAAACCTCAAGCGGTGGGAACATGCACAATTGAGTTCGGCTCGCGCGCAATGAACTGGTGGGAGCGGGCTCGAACTCTAAGTTGACCAGAATTTCATTGAAGAACAAGCTTGCGAGGTTGATGAAGATGCCATTTGGGTAGTACCTGAATCTCTCGAGATAAACACAAAAATTTGCTCAAGACCGTTTCTTGGCGAAACCGCCAACTTATCAGTGGATGGTTTGTAAAAAACAAGAAAAGAAGGTCCTCATTCTGCCATCCACAACGTCATTCCCAAATAGTTTACATCACTACTCGTACCCAAGTCAAGTTGTTATTCGTCGTATGTTCCACCATTTCATATCACGTTACGGCCCGTCTATTCATACTCAACTTTTGTCTCCACGCATTTAGGTAGCTTCAGCTTACCGTGATCTACAAGCCCCACATGTTAAACAATCTGCTATCGAAGCCAGACATTCTGCTATGGCTATCGAAAGTTTTAGTGGTTTATCGTGCCCCGCAGACTATTTTTGCTACCTGCGATGATGCATTCAATGCAACCGGCGATCGCGCCGACAATAGCCATGATACAGTCTCCAATGCATTGGACAATGCCTTGTGAGTCGATAAGTAAGGATAGACTGAGGCGGAACAACGAATGTTACCAGTGATACAAGAGAATATGCAGCCCATCTTGATGTGCGACCGGTGACCGACATGTCGCGTTTTATAGATGCGTTGAACGGTGACGTAGTGGATGGACACGGCGATCATCAAGTTTTTAGCGCAGGGTTGTTGGGAGTCTCGTGACCGTGTGCTTGTTTGGCAACCACCCCCAAATCACACAGAGTCACACGTCGAGTTTTCTCGTGCACTTGTCTGCATCCGCCCTCCATCCTCTCCTCCTCCAATGTGCGTACTGAGTCATCCTTTCCCTCCTCTCCCCCGACGTGCTGGGAGGCATTTCCTGCATCCTTCACTTTTCTCTTTGTGTTAATTAGTCGCGTCGTACCACTTTTACTAACCCGCTTCCAGCATGCGTGAAATCGTTCATCTCCAAACCGGCCAGGTGCGCCTCTCCAGTTTTGACGACCTTTATGCAAGCTAACTTTCTTTCTTTCTCTAGTGCGGTAACCAAATCGGTGAGCATCACTTGCTACAGCACGCGTCGCTCCTGCTCACAATTTTTTTTCTTAGGTGCCCGATTCTGGGAAGTCGTCTCGGACGAGCACAGCATTGGTGCCGATGGTGTCTACAACGGCAATAACGACCTCCAGCTTGAGCGGATATCGGTCTACTACAACGAGGTTGGCGGAAACAAGTACGTCCCTCGGGCGGTCTTGATTGACCTCGAGCCTGGGACCATGGACTCCGTTCGTTCTGGACCTCTCGGCACACTCTTCAGACCAGACAACTTCGTCTTTGGGCAAAGTGGTGCTGGCAACAACTGGGCTAAAGGACGTGAGTTCCATCTTCTTTTTGTGGTTGTCAATCACCATGTGCTGACACGTTTTTCGAAGATTACACGGAGGGCGCTGAGCTCGTCGACTCCGTTCTGGATGTTGTCCGCAAGGAGGCCGAGGGCACTGACTCCCTCCAAGGTACGATTATTTCTTTTTTATTATTGGCGTCATTGGCTAACTCGGTTTACAGGCTTCCAAATCACCCACTCTCTCGGTGGTGGCACTGGCTCCGGAATGGGCACCCTCCTCATCTCCAAGATCCGTGAGGAGTACCCTGACCGTATGATGTGCACATACTCCGTCGTTCCCAGTCCCAAGGTCTCCGACACTGTCGTTGAGGTAAGCACATCTGAAATGAGAAGACGTTACGTTGCTCAAGTGTTTCATTAGCCCTACAATGCTACCCTCTCCGTTCATCAACTCGTTGAGAACTCGGATGAGACTTTCTGCATTGACAATGAGGCCCTCTACGACATCTGCTTCCGCACCCTGAAGCTCTCTACCCCCACTTACGGCGACCTGAATAACCTCGTCTCTGTTGTCATGTCTGGAATTACGACTTGCCTGCGTTTCCCTGGTCAACTCAACTCTGACCTTCGCAAGCTCGCTGTCAACATGGTTCCTTTCCCCCGTCTTCACTTCTTCATGACCGGCTTTGCTCCTCTTACGGCTCGTGGTAGCGCCCAGTACCGCGCTGTCAGCGTTCCAGAGCTTACGGCCCAGATGTTCGACGCCAAGAACATGATGGCTGCCTCTGACCCGCGACACGGACGCTACCTCACTGTCGCCGCCGTCTTCCGGGGCAAGGTCGCTATGAAGGAGGTCGAGGAACAGATGCAGAATGTGCAGAACAAGAACTCGGCCTACTTCGTCGAGTGGATCCCCAACAATGTTCTCACTGCCCATTGTGACATTCCCCCGCGTGGCGTCAAGATGGCTGTTACCTTCATTGGTAACTCAACCGCCATCCAGGAGCTGTTCAAGCGTGTTTCGGACCAGTTCACCGCCATGTTCAAGCGCAAGGCTTTCTTGCATTGGTACACACAGGAGGGCATGGACGAGATGGAGGTATGACTTGTCATCTATTTTGCTTGCGCGCATTCTAACTTGTGGTATAGTTCACGGAAGCCGAGTCCAACATGCAAGATCTCGTTGCTGAATACCAACAATACCAAGATGCGACGTAAGTTTTTCTTCGTCTTTTCGCATATCTTTTACTGATGTTCTTCAGTGCCGAAGAGGAGGGCGAATACGAAGAGGATGTTCCCGTCGAGGAGTAGAATGTTTTCCTTTTTCTCTTCCGCACACAATACCCTCCGCTTACCTCTACCAAAAATGGCGGCCCTTGATGATACTCTGCTCGATGACCTTTTTAATTCCAATACGCTGTCCTTGCCCCGCATTACTCGTACCTCGCACCCTCGTTATGAACACTCAGATTTCTCGACGCCAGGGCTTGAAGATAATAAAGCTGGTTTTGCTTTGAACCAAAGTCGCATGCTCGCTCGATTTTGTATGGGCAAATCATGGTGCATGTTCCAATAATGACTGATAGTAGTGAGAGATCGTACATATAATAAGTAAGTATCAAGCTTGAGGTAGGCTACGCTTGCATAGTCTACGAACTTTCCAGATGTGCTCTTTGGTGAAAATCAAGCAGAACATGCAATCAACGGAGCGTTGGATTCCCAATTAGCTGGTGCGTTAGCGTAGTGGATGGCTGCATTCGGTCGGGAAGCATCGAATTCCAGTGCTTCGGTGCCCCTGGTCATTTGTACCGCGGCAGCGTGGAGACTGAATTGTTCGGCGGGGTAATACGACCTATAGCTTTGGTGGGTGAGATGGGACCCCTGGATACTGCGAGACATCCCGGAAAAACAAGTCGGAGCAGCTGACATTTTATCTTCAAAAGTCTATGGGTGGTGAATGAGTCTCTCTTCGAGCAAGGATATAAATGAAGAGATACTGACAGCCAGATACGCTTTCATTGCTCGCACGGCCGCTGGATTTGTTTTTGAAGTTGTTTTCCACTCCTTTCGGATTTTAGAAATGAGATGTTCCAGGGTGTAAAGAGCTGACTTGTCGAAATGAGCTCCGCGTGGCATAGCGCTGGACTTCCATCCCGCTAGATGCTCCACGTTCTGTGTGGGTGGAGTAATTGGTACGGCGAGAATCCATTGGTTCCATTTATGATTCCATTGTGGGGTAGAGTGGACATGGAAGTTGGCTCCAAGCGTAGGGTAGACAGGGACCAGAAATTGACGAAGAAGCTCAGGCGGTTCCGCTCCGCTGAAGCTGTACATAAGACATATCTGTTGCTTTGCTTGATCGGTAATCACACAAGGTCTATGTGGTTTCCCGAACTGTTTCAGTACAGAGGTCGCACTGAGCATGGATGACTTGACAGTTCCTTCGATAAAGCGGACAAGCGGTACTTGGATAGCGATATAGTCTGTCGCCCTGACGGCGCCATTCAAGTCACGGTTGCGGTGGTGGTGCGCAGGGCGCTGGTTTGCGGCATCAAGTGGGGGAAAGTCAAGTACAGACGGATTTCCGGCTGTGCTGTCGCAGATTTCACAAGGACTCGGACGTTGGGGAGAGTTGGTCATTGAAGTTTGAGATTGCACTAGTGGCCGGCAGTTTAAATAAGTCTTGAAGAACAAAAGATTGGTTCTTGTACTTGATGCTATTGTGTATTTGGACAACAAGATATTGTATTCAACCACTCTTGGTTGTCAACTGTTGTCAAGTCTTTTTTAATATCTCATCGAAGTTTGCTATAGGCCAGTGCCTCTGCAGTGTCATAGAATGTGGGTACTGCTGAAGGCAAGGACTACGGCACCGGTGTTCAAGTTGCGCCTGCGCCGTCGGAGGGCAAGCGGCAAGCCCACGCGGGGCAAAATAAGAGATATCATATCACGTGCTTCTCCTCGCACGAATGCCATTTCTGTTGTTGTTCTGTCAGTGTGTGTGTGTGTGGGTGACACTGGGTGTTTATACCATCCCATACTTACTCCGCTTCCATATGTCTTCAGGTGACAACTCGGGCGACTATATTCCAGACACAGGTGTATTTGCGGTCCTCACCGTTGATCCTGTAGCCTGCGTGGACTATCTCGAGGACGCGGAGGCGACTGCTGCATGTGCCCTGCTCACGAGCAAAGGCTATGTGGTATACGTACCTGGTGTAAGTCGCTGTGGCTTTAACTTTTCCTGCTACTAACTGCTCATAGTCGGGGCCACTGTTCGATCCGTGCGACCCCTTCCGCGAAGAGCAGCCCTACTTCGTTCTGCAGGGCGTCCCGCGGGACATCCCAGACCAATTCATCGAGGCACGCATGTCCATTCCTCTCACACCCCAGTCCCTCACCATCGACCACCCTTCGGGTCGCCAACCGTTCAAGATATCTGGTGCTCCATTTCCTTGGCCGAACTGCTACTTGTCTGCGTTTACACAAGTGTCTGTGCGCTGTGCGAATGTCCTGATTGTGGACCCCGTGGTGTCCGAACTCGAGGAGAGCGAGCAGTTTCGGTTTATTTGTCTTACCGGCGATGACAAAGAGCGGCGGGAGGACCTTCGGTATGATGCGGAGGAAGCGAAGGCACAAACTCAGAATCCTGGGATGCACACCGACTTAGCGACTGTCAACGATGATATTGCGGCTGACAAGGCTGATGTGGACTCCGCTGACGAAGTCGAAGAGATGGACGAGCAAGAAGCTGTTGCCGTTTTCCGAGGCCTCTTTGCCAACCAGGCTTCAGAGCACCTGCCCGCAGTCAAATTCACACATGATCTGTCTCAAGTGACGGAGTTCAACGACCCCAAAGGGTACTTTCAAGAGCTGGCCGTCATTGCCGAGTATGTCCTTCAGCGCTCATGCATGAGCCATTCTTATAGGGCTTCAGAATAATCAAAGCCTCGCTGGCACGGAAGGAAGCAGCCAAAGATATTATAAACCAGAAGGATGCAGCGCGTTACGACGAGAAAACGGGTACGTGCAAGTCCTCCTAACTTAACTACTCCATATCGACCTTTTCTACTTAGCTGAGTTGTTGCGAGCTCATCAAGCTTCTCATGGCCCTGATGATCCTGTTGCTCGTCAGGATAACGGCTCGTCTTTGGCAGAAAAACTGCCACTGACAGCGTCTCCCGATCGCGGCGCTCGGCTTTCGAGAGTTGGCGTCTGCATTGCGCGGATCAAGAGGGTCCTTCATCGTATTACATGTCGTTCCTCGCATACTACCGATACATGAGCCATTGACTCTTTTCGCCTCCCAGTCGCCAGCGCTTAGAAGCTTCTCTTTGCCAATGTTGTATTGCTAGTATACCCAAAGTCGTAACTATTGCCACGAGCGCGTGGGCACTGGTGTACATGTCAGTGCACCAGTCGACAGTGGGTGCACTGACATCCTCGTGATGACATGAAAGCCTGCAAAGAGGTCGGGACTCGGGGGAATTAGCGAGGGCGGCGGGAGGGGGTGAAACTATATGAAAAATTGAATCCCGTTGTCTACAGCGTCAGCGGGGAACAAATGTGGGGAGTCACGTGCATAGATGTCACGGTCAAACAAGGCCTTCCTTGTTTTTCTCTTCATTATTGTTCGTCTGTGTGTCCATGACCCACAACGCTTCTTTCACAAGACACCCACCAACTCTGATTTTATACTATGGCCGCACTGGAAAATAACGACTTGGCCGACTACATCCCACAAATAGGTTCATTTGCGGTTCTCACTGTCGATCCCGTCGCTTGCGTGGACTATCTTGAGGATCCAGTGGCGACGGCTGCGTGCGCGCTACTCCCGAGTAAGGATTACGTGGTTTACATATCGGGTGTAAGTCCACGCAGTTGCGCGACCTTTCCTCACTAAACCAATCATTTCACGTAGTCGGCACCACTACTGGACCCACGAACTGCTTTCCGAGAAGAACGCCCCTACTTTGTCATCCAAGGCGCTCTGCAGGATATTCCAAACCAGTTTATTGACGCCGGCATGTCCATTCCCCTTGCACACCAATCCCTCACCCACCCTTCTGGTCGCCAACCGCTCAAGATCTCAGGCAGCCCTTTTCCTTGGTCTGACTGCTACTTGTCTGCGTTTGTGAGCGTCTCTGTGCGCTGCCCCAATGGGTTAGTGGTGGATCCTGTGCTATGCGAGCTCGACGAGGACGAGCAATTTCAGTTCACCATCCTGATTGACGACGACTCCGTGCGGCGGCGCGAGCGGAGGGCAGCGCAGGGGGAGAAGGATAATGTTGGGGCTGTGGATCCCAATGTGGATGCCGATTCAGTCACGAATGTGGACATAGGCAACGACGATACGGACTCGGATAATGGAACCGAAGGAGAAATAGACGAGGAAGAAGCTGTCGCCATTTTCCGCAGCCTATTTGCCAACCAAGCTTCAGAGCGCCTACCTGCGGTTGCATTCACGCATAATCTGTCTCAAGTAAAGGAGTTCAACGACCCCAAAGGGTATTTTCAAGAGATTGCCGTCATTGCTGAGTTGGTCGTTCAATGCTCATGTATAATGATCTCCTTACGCAGCTCTAGAATAATCAAAGCCTCGTTGGCACGGAAGGAAGCAGCCAAAGCTATCATAAATCAGAAGGACGCAGCACGTTACGATGAGAAAACAAGTATGTGCGAGTTCTCCTAACTTGACTCCAGAATGACCCTTTCCACAGCCGAATTGTTGCAAGCTCATCAAGCCTCTCGTGGCCCCGATGCACCTGCTGCATCAATTCAGGATAAAGCCTCCTCTTTGTCGGGAAAACCGCCTCTGACAGCGCCTCTCGATCGCGGTGCTCGGTTTTCGCGAGTTCGCGTCTGCATTGCGCAAATCAAGAATCTCGTTCGTCGTATTATGTGCCAGTCCCCAGACCATAATACATAAGCTCTTGACTCCCGTGGTTGCCATGCTCGTGGATCTGTGTCGGCCTTAAAGTTGGTGTGTGTGTATGTGTCCGACCTAAAGTAGTTCTCCGATTGATCATTGGAGTTATTCCTGTAACATAACAACAACTGGGATGCAATTTAGGGGCAATTGGTAGCTAGGGAAGAATGAAACTGAGAATAAAGTCGAACCTGGTTGTTTACCGCCCAAATGTGCGAAGTCACGTGTGTAGATTTGATTGACAAATGAAGCAGTCCTTGTTGTCCTCTTCCTTATTGTTCGTCTGTGTGTCCATGGCCCACACCACTTCTCTCACAGACCATCTCATTCACCCTACTTTCAAATGGCCACCAATCACGACTTGGGCCGCTACATCCCACAAATAGGTTCATTTGCGGTCCTCACCGTCGATCCTGTAGCTTGCGTGGACTATCTCGAAGACCCGGAGGCAACTGCTGCATGCTCTCTCCTCACTAGTAAAGGCTACGTGGTATATATGCATGGTGTAAGTCAACAAGGCTCTAGCTTTCCTGCCACTAATTCGCCATAGTCGGGGCCACTGCTTGATCCCCAGGCTGCTTTTCGAGAAGAGCAGCCATACTTTGTTATGCAAGGAGTTCCGCGGGACATTCCGGACCAATTCATCGAGGCAGGCATGTCCATTCCCGTCACACCCCAGTCCCTCACCATCGCCGACCACCCCTCCGGTCGTCAACCACTGGAGATATCTGGTGCTCTATTTCCTTGGCTGGACTGCTACTTGACCGCGTTTACGCAAGTGTCCGTGCGCTGTGCGAATGTTCTGATTGTGGACCCCACGGTTTGCGAACTCGACAGGACCGAGCGATTTCGGTTCATGTGTCTGATTGACGACGACGCAGAGCGGCGAGACGACCTTCGGGCGGATGCGGAGGAAGCAAAGGCACTGACTCAGAATCCTACCGAATTGGCGACTGCGACCGATGATATCGTGACTGACACCGATTATGGGGACTCCGGTGATGCAGTCGAAGAGATAGACGAGCAAGAAGCTGTTGCCATGGCCATTTTCCGGGGCCTCTTTGCCGACCAAGCTTTAGAGCACCTGCCCGCGGTCAAATTCACACATGATCTGTCGCAAGTGAAAGAGTTCAACGATCCCAAAGGGTACTTTCAAGAGCTGGCCGTCATCGCTGAGTAGGTCATTCAATACTCATGGACTGTAAATCATCTTATACAGCTTCAGGATAATCAAGGCCTCGCTGGCGCGAAAGGAAGCAGCTAAGGATCTGATCATCCAGAAGGATGCAGCGCGTTACGATGAGAAAACGGGTATGTACAAGCCCTCCTAACTTTACTACTCCATATCGACGCGTTCTAGCTGAGTTGCTGCGAGCTCATCAAGCTTCTCATGCTCCTGTTGCTAGTCAGAATAGCGGCTTGTCTTTCGCAGAAAAACCGGCACCGACAGCGCCTCTCGATCGCGGCGCTACATTTTCGCGAGTTCGTGTCTGCATTGCGCAGATCAAGCATGTCTTCCGTCGTATTATGTGCCAGCCGATAGACCATAATACATAAACTTTCGATTCTAATAATTGACATGCTCGTCGGCGGGCTATGGTGCGTGTGTGTCCGACCTACAGGAATGCGACTCGCGGGCCTCTGGTGGCTCGGTAAAAAGTGGTCTGGTTGTTTCAATGTTTGGAAGCAGCTCCAAGTCACGTGCGCAGATTTCATCGACAAATGGAGAAGTCCTTGTTATTCTCTTCCTTTGATTATTGTTCGTCTGTGTGTCCATGGCCCACACTCCTTCTCTCACAGACTATCTCACTCACCCTGCTTTCAAATGGCTACGAATAACCACTTGGGCCGGCCTGAGTACGTTCCGAAGCCAGGTGCATTTGCGGTCGTCACCGTGGATCCTGTAGCTTGTGTGGACTATCTCGAAGACCCGGAGGCGACTGCCGCATGCTCTCTCCTCACAAGTAAAGACTACGTGGTATACATGTATGGTGTAAGTTAACAAAGCTCTCACTTTCTTGCCACTAATTCACCATAGTCGGGGCCACTGCTTGATCCCCAAGCTGCTTTTCGAGAAGAGCGGCCCTACTTTGTCATCCAAGGGGTCCCACGAGATATTCCAAAGCAATTCATTGAGGCAGGCATGTCTATTCCTATCCCACCCCAGTCCCTCGCCATCGCCGACCACCCCTCCGGTCGTCAACCACTCAAGATATCTGGTGCCCCGTTCCCTTGGCCAGACTGCTACTTGACCGCGTTTACGCGAGTGTTCGTGCGCTGTGCGAATGTTTTGACTGTGGACCCTGTGGTATGTGAACTCGACGACAGCGAGCGATTTCGGGTCCTTCGTCGATTTGGTGACGACGAGGAGCGGCAGGACGACCTTCGGTATGATGCAGAGGAAGCGAAGGCACCGACTCAGAATCTTGGGATGGACACCAACTTGGAAACTGCCACCGATGATATTGCGGCTGACGACAATGATGAGGACGTAGTTGATGAAGTCGAAGGGATGGACGAGCAAGAGGCTGTTGCCGTTTTCCGTGGCCTCTTTGCCAACCAGGCTTCAGAGCACCTGCCCGCAGTGAAATTCACACATGATCTGTCTCAAGTAAAGGAGTTCAACGATCCCAAAGGGTACTTTGAAGAGCTTGCTGTCATCGCTGAGTATGTCCTTCAATACTCATGTCTGAGCCATTCTTATGTAGCTTCAGAATAATCAGAGCCTCGCTGGCGCGGAAGGAAGCAGCCAAAGCGCTCATATCCCAGGAGGATGCAGCGCATTATAACGAGAAAACGGGTATGCACAAGATTTTTAGTGTCATTCCATGCTCATACGTTCTAGCCGAGTTACTGCAGGCGCATCAAGCCTCTCATGGCCCCGATGCTCCTGTCCACGTCAGTGCAAGTGAGGATGATGCCTCGTCCGCTTCGGTGGGCAACTTGAAGCCACCACTGACCCCTCGGGTTTCGCGAGCTCGTGTCTGCATTGCGCGGATCAAGAAGCACCTTCGCCGTATTATATGTTAATCTCCCCCTCTGTAATTCATGAGCTATTGACTTCATTCGCCATGAGAGACCAAGCCGGAAGTCGTGTGTTGTTGTTGCAAGTGTATCCTACAAGGGATGAGCCCGCTACAAGTAGTACTAGTAATACATATTGCAACTATGCACGCGAATGTGTGGGAAGGTCACGTGCACAGATGTCAATTCAAGACGTCCTTGTTCTTCTCTTACTTATTGTTCGTCTGTGTGTCCATGGTCTACACCACTTCTCTCACAGACCATCTCATTCACCCCACTTTCAAATGGCCGCCAATCACGACTTGGGCCGCTACATCCCACAAATAGGTTCGTTTGCGGTCCTCACCGTTGACCCTGTAGCCTGCGTGGACTATCTCGAGGACCCGGAGGCGACTGCTGCATGTGCCCTGCTCACGAGCAAGGGCTATGTGGTATACGTACCAGGTGTAAGTCGATGCGGCCATAACCTTTCCTGCTACTAACTCTCACCCCGGTGAGCTACCACCTACCATACCGTAAGACCCGTTAGGTAGATTATTTTGTAAGTAATTGATAGACCTAAGAAGGTCCGTTCCAGCAGGAGTGTGACATCCGATAGACCGGTGATCCGGAGCGATTACGCTTCTCTCCCTCTCTATTCTCGCAGCCTCTACTATGGCACGCGACGGGCGACTCCCAAAGACGCGCTCTTCCGCTCGGCACGCGCAGGCCCGAACTCGCGGGGCTGGTCACTATCAAGTCAGCCCTCTCCAGTCTCGCACAGGCCACATGAAGCGCGTGATTCAACCTACAAGGAACCAAGCAATGCGCCAATCAGCCCTTCAATCTCACCTTCAGGCGCTTCTTGCTGGCGATGTACCTGCGGCCGAGAGTTCAACAGCCAACCATGGTGATGGAGAAGCGATGGATTGGGAGGATGAAGAGGAAGATGAGAGGGTTGCTGATTCGGAGGAGGCTCCAGCTTTGGCACCATCGACACCGATTCAAGTTGCCCTTCCCACGAGAATCTCCAACGCAAGGCAAAGCTCTAAGGCCAGTGTCGCAGACGCTTGGAACACCCTTCTACCAGAACTCGAAGCTCCCTGGGCTGCTTTCCACACGGCAACCTATGCTGCGCCACCTACCCATATTGCCGCCTCCATCCACCACTCTTTGCGAAGCGGGATGCACATCCTCCATTCGCTCCACTGTGCAATGCCTTTATCCCACTCGTGCATCCACATTCTGCTGACATTTCGATGTAGACTTATGATTACTAGACATGCAGACTGTTTTGATAGCGACTTGCAGCTGCAAATCTCTCTGTGCGATCCTCGTCGAAAACGGGGTCTTCCCTGCATCTCCTCGGCGACCCCGCATAGGCGTATCCATCGACCTTCTCGAGCTTTACCGGGCAGTATTCGAGCGATCGTGCGATGCCATCACGGCGCTTGCTCACGCGCTTAGGACTGTTTATCTGCGTCGCGGATACCATGTTCTCTCTGAACAGGTATGTGTTTCTGCTCTCATTGGCAGCCTAGTGTTAATCCTAGTGTTAGAAATCCGGTGCTCTCTCCACCGACCCCTTCCGACAGAGCCTCACTCAAGCGGTTTTATGGTCCAGCAACCTCCGAGATCGCCTTCAATCGCATGTTAATGCACTATTAACCTCTGCGGACAATGCTCTAGCTCTGGAAACTGACGACAACATTCCTTCACCCGTGGCTACTGCAGAAGTGGTGGCTACGCCGCCTACAACAACTGACGCGGTGTCATATCCGTGCATCCGTCATGTGCCGCGGCCCGCGGACCGGTCACGGTCCGCCGGGTTCCGGCCCGATCCGATCCGGTCGCTCCGGCGACCTTGTACTCTGTATGTCTTTCGCCTTGTTACTTATATCTCCGTATGTCCTTATGCTTGTTACTTTCCATATGCACTCCGTACCTTGTACTTACTTATGGTCTTCCCTTTCTACTTACTTGTAGTATTTAAGCAGCTAAAGTAGCTACGGTACTTTAGCTTGATTATAAACGTTACTTGCACTCCTCCTCTGTGCGGAACGACTCCGAAAACTCTTCTCTCTTCTCTTGTCCTTCAACCGGATTTCACTCCGCTCGCGGACCTTGCTCCGCTCCGACTCCGCTCCGGTCCGGTTGGTCTTGTGTTCATTCGTGTCAGGCAGCTACTGGCTTGTTAGCTATAGTAGAAACCCCCTCTGTTCTGCACGGCACTTGACAGTATAATCAAGCTCATCTGTCTGGCTTTTTCCTCATGTCTTACGACAATTCCCAACAACGTTTCTCACCCCCCAACGATCCTCGTCGATTTCCGACTCGTCCGGGATGGCCTCAACAGTCGTCTCCTCCGGCTCCTCCGGTTAACTTCTACGAGGGCCTAAACCTACGAGTTCATGCTGATCGGCGAAATTCTGCTCTGTTTTCTTCGTTTCCCCCTGGGAATCTTTACAACACACCCCCTGCTCTTCACGCTCCCATGCAACATCCAGTCTCACCTTCTCCTTTGCCTCAAGGCGCTTCATACGTCACTTTGCGCCCTTCGGCACGTCAGTCCTTAGAACCAAACTTCGGACGACGCTCCGCTCCTCACCCATCGACTTATTTGGATCCGCCTGTTCCGCCTCTCCCAATCAACAATCCTATTCGGCAATTTAATGCTGATGTAACTGGCTTGCGCGGAACCATTCCGGCCGAATTGGCCGCTGCGATACCGGATCACACCCGGTTCACCCAAATCGATGAGGAAGTAGAGCAACAAGGTGAAATTGTTCCTCCCCCTGTTGAAACAGAGGAACAACATGGTACTGGTTCTGGTTCTGCTAATCCTGGTGGGCCAGATAATGGTGGAGATGGCCCTGGCTCCCCTGGCGGTCGTAATAGCCCGCTTGGTGAGGGTCCCGGTGGTCCTGGGGGTCCAGAAGACCCTAATGGTCCTGATGGTTCTGATGGACCTGGCGGTCCGGGTGGCGGCGGTGGCCCAGGAGGTGGCCCCGGCGGACCCGGCGGTCCTGGTGGTCCTGGCGGCGGTGGTCCTGGAGGCGGAGGTCCTCCGGGAGGTAACCCGCCTGGTGGTCCTGGTGGCCCGGGTGCCCCTCCGGCACCTAGGGGACCTACTGATGGAGAGAGAATGGCAGCTAGCATCGTTTCTGGTCTGGCTGCTCTGGCTGCTGCGATTAACACTATGTCGCAAAATCAGGCCACGGCTCAACAATTCTCCCTCAAAACGTCTCGAAACGGAAAGTCCAATCTCCGTAATCCAGAGCCTTTCGAAGGCTCTGACCCTTTAAAGCTTCGTCCTTTCCTCACTCAGTGCTATTTGCATTTTGCTGAACGTCCCTCTGAGTTCACTACGGACTCGGAGAAGATTGTCTACATCCTCTCTTATCTTCGAGGTAATGCCTTGTCGTGGTTTGAACCCCAACTGTTCAGCGACGATCCGGACTCCGTTCCGTACTGGGACGGAAATTTGGAGCTCTTCCTATCAGAGCTTCAGACTACGTTCGGTCCGGCTGATCCGGTTGGTGACGCGGAGGCATCACTCCGCATCTTGAGGATGAAGAGCGAGGACAAGATTACGACCTATGTGATCGAGTTTACTCGACTTGCGTCTCACACATTCTGGGGTCCGGAAGCCCTCCGATCCCAATTCTACGAAGGTCTCCCTCGACGCATCAAGGACGAGCTTTCTCGCGTCGACTACGCGAACACACTGGTCGGCGTGCGCCTTGCGGCAGTCAAAATCGACACTCGCTATTGGCGACGCAAGGAGGAGATAATCCGCGAGAATAATCTCAAGGATTCCGGAGGGTCTGGCTCCGGTGGCGGTAACCAGAAGGGTGGTGGGAAGAAGTCTGGCGGGTCTAACAACTCGTCGTCTTCGGGATCCAGTTCTTCATCGACTGGAACTTCTGGTTCGTCCAACTCCAACTCCAAAGGCAACAACAACGGCAACAACAAGTCGAACGGGGGCAATAATCGCGCCTCTGGCTCCGGGTCCGGTAACGGAAACAACTCCGGGGGTAAGACTTCGACTTTCTCTCACCTTTTGAAGGGTGGCCATCTCAATGCTGCGGAGAAGGAACGACGGATCAAAGAGGGCCTTTGCCTCTATTGTGGAGGTAAGGGTCATACGGCTGACAATTGCAAGAAGCGTCCGGCCAATGCTCAGGCCAAAGCTTCGACCACGGAGGCTGCTCCTGCCTCCGACGCTGCCGAGTCAAAAAAATAGACAGCAGCCCTGATGCCTCTGCACTCCATCAGGGTTGCGTTGACTCTGGCAGTGCCCCTACTTGGCCCGAGGCTTTTCTCAACGCTTCCTCTCTTTCCCCTAACGCTCTTAATCTCGACTTATTCTCTGCTGTGGACGCCCTCGGACCTCTTTCGGAGTCGCTATCCGGACCCGAAGCGTATTCAACCACGCATATTTCTGTACTCTCTTCACTTGCCGCGGGATTCAACTCCCGCTTACGGACACTCATCGACTCTGGCTCCTCTCACTGTTTTATATCTGCTCAGGCGTGTAAAATATATGGTTTTGTGCCTTACTCGATCGCGCCCGTTAAGCTCCGATATCTCGACGGCTCTAGTTCTATCATTCGGAGCCAAGTCCGGCTACCGATTCTTTTCCCTTCTGGCGACATTCAAATCTTGGACTTCTATGTCACTCGTCTTGATCCTCCTAGTCAACTGGTTCTTGGATACAACTGGCTGCACCGCTTCAATCCGTTGATTGACTGGTCCGCAGGCAGTATCTCTTTCCGTTCCACTACTCCTAGTGATCCTGTGTCGACACCACTGGCGACTACGCCTGTCTTGGTTCAGAAACCATCCTCTACGGACGACACTCCGGCGGACACCGTTCCGGCCCCTTCGTCGCCTCTGAACACTCCCCTTGTCGCCTCCTCCTGTCTTGCTTCCTTCTATGGAGTCTGATCCTTCTATGGATTCGGCCTCTAGTCAAGGCACTTCACCCTTTTCGGCCCCTCACATCTCTCTTGTCTCAGCTGCGGCTTATTCGGCAGCTATTCGTCAAGAAGGTACCGTTCAGTATACCTTACGGACCACCGTTCCGACGGTCCGTGGTAATGCGGCTTCTGCATCTGGCCCGCCTGACGGACTCCCTTCCGAATACCATGACTACGCTGAAGTCTTTTCAGAGACTGAAGCTTATAATCTGCCACCGCATAGAGAGTTCGACTTGCACATCGAGACTGAGGACGGAGCTGTTCCGCCTATCGGACACCTTTACTCTATCTCTCAAGCCGAGCTCGAAGCCTTACGCGACTTCATCGACAAGAATCTCAAGGCGGGCTTCATTTATCCGTCTAAATCCTCTCATGGTGCTCCGATCCTATTCGCTAAGAAGAAGGACGGCTCTCTTCGACTTTGTGTCGACTACCGTGGTCTCAATCGTATCACTAAACGCGACCGCTATCCGCTTCCGCTCATTTCCGATCTCCTTGACGCTCCGGGTCGAGCTAGGATCTATACGAAGCTGGACTTGCGTCACGCTTACACCACTTGCTCCGCATAGCGGAGGGTGACGAGTGGAAAACAGCGTTTCGCTCACGGTATGGTTCTTACGAATGGAGGGTTGTTCCTGAAGGCCTCATGAACGCGCCTTCGGCTTTTCAACGCTTCGTCAATAGCCTCTTCGCGGATATGTTGGATGTGTGCGTCATTGTTTACCTTGACGACATACTAATCTATTCGGACAACCCCTCCGAGCACCGCAAACATGTACGGGAGGTACTCCGACGCTTACGCGACGCTGGACTTTATTGCAAACTATCTAAGTGCGAGTTCAGTGTGGAGTCTTGTGAGTACTTGGGCTATATCCTTTCACCTGATGGTTTCCGGATGTCTCCGGAGAAAGTTGCGGCTATCGTCGACTGGCCTGTGCCACGCAAGGTCAAAGACGTACAGTCTTTTCTTGGGTTCTGTAATTTCTATCGGCGTTTCATTCCTTACTACTCCGACACTACCGTTCCGTTGACTCGTCTCACACGAGCCAATACCAAGTGGAACTGGTCGGAGGACTGCGAGGCGGCGTTTAATACGCTTAAGAATGCCTTTAAACAGTCCCCAATACTTCACCATTGGGTGCCTGGTCGGCAAATTACTGTCGAAACGGACGCCTCCGACTATGCCATCGCCTCTATCCTCTCTATCAACGGGGATGACGGCGACATTCATCCGGTTGCCTTCCGCAGCCGAACCCTTGGTCCAGCCGAACTCAACTACGACGTGCACGACAAAGAGTTGTTGGCCATCTTCGATGCCTTCACTATCTGGCGCCACTATCTGGAGGGCGCTCCGCTTCCGATCGATGTCGTAACCGATCACAAGAATCTTGAGTACTTCTCTACTACCAAGATTCTTACTCGTCGTCAGGTCCGCTGGTCCGAGTACCTTTGCCATTTTAACATGGTAATCCGCTTCCGTCCGGGCCGTCTGGGCGGAAAACCCGATGCGTTAACTAGACGATGGGACGTCTACCCTAAAGAGGGGGATAATGATTACCGTAAGGTTAATCCGCAAAATTTGCGCCCAATTTTCGCTACTGAACAACTCACAACGTCTCTACGCGCATCGTATCTCGAGGATGTTGTCCTCCGAGCAACGGTCGTAATGGATACTGAGAAGCTGCACACAGACATCCTCGCAGCTCTTCCGGACGACTCCGCTGCTTCCGCTGGTCTAAAGGCTGCAAAGTCAGGTTCTTCTTCGCGCTGGTCTGTTGACGATTCAGGTCTTCTACGACTTGATGACCGTATCTATGTCCCTTTGGTCGGAACCGGCTCCGGCTCCGATGCATTGCGGGTACGTGTCCTTCAACATAAACACGACCATATTCTTTCTGGCCATTTCGGGCAAAATCGCACTCTCGAACTCGTACGACGCGACTATACCTGGCCGGAGTTGCGGACCTTCGTCCGTGACTATGTGCAATCTTGCGTTCTCTGTAAACGCAACAAGAAGCCTCGACATAAACCGTTTGGGTTACTTAAACCCCTTCCGGTGCCGGAACGACCTTGGCATTCTATTTCGATGGATTTCATCGAGGGCTTACCAAAATCTGGCGAGTTTGACTCTATTCTAGTCATTGTTGATCGTGCCTCCAAACAGGCTATCTTCATTCCTTGCGACAAACACGTCAACTCAAAAGATCTAGCCCACTTCTTCCTTATTCACGTCTTCTCTAAACACGGAGTCCCTTCCCATGTGTCCTCTGACCGTGGATCGGAATTCGTGTCCGCTTTCTTCCGGTCATTAGGCGAGTTACTCAACATGGAGCTACACTACACTTCGGGTTGGCATCCGTCAGCTAACGGACAGGTTGAGCGCGCTAACCAAACGCTCGAACAATTCATCCGCATGTACGTCTCGTATCAGCAAGACGACTGGGACCGCCTGCTTCCGCTTGCCGAGTTCGCCTACAACAACGCACCTAACGCGTCAACCGGAGTCTCTCCGTTCTTCGCTAACAAAGGCTACAATCCATCTCTTACCATTCATCCTGAACGAGATGTGGCTAATGTTTACGCCAAGGACTACGTCGTTGACTTGGAATCCCTTCACGAGTTTCTTCGAAAACAGATCTCCTCCGCTCAGGAGCGGTACAAAGAGACGGCAGACGGCAAGCGCACTCCGGATCCGATCTTCGAGGTTGGTGAAAGTGTCTACGTTAGCGCTGAACATATTTCTACCACACGCCCTACCGCCAAATTCTCTGAGCAGTACCTTGGACCTTACGAGATCATCGCCAAACCCTCCTCCGCTTCCTATACGCTCCGCTTGCCTCAAAAGCTTCGCGGAGTCCATCCGGTCTTTCACGTCTCTCAACTCGAAAAGCACTATCCCAATCCGTTCCCGACTCGTACGGACGAGCCTCCGGCTGCGGTTGAAGTCGATGGTGAACAACACTTCGAGGTAAAAGCTGTGGTTGACTCTAAAATTGACCGTCGCTACCGGGTTCAGCTCCGGTACTACGTGGAGTGGTTGGGCTACGAAGATACTGACGAGCAGTATACGTGGGTTGGCGCTGACGACTTAGAAGCTCAAGAGCTTATCGACAGCTTCCACCGCCAACACCCGGACAAGCCTGGGCCGGACTACTAGCCTTTTCGGATTCCCTCCGGTTCTTTGCTTACTCGCTCACTCACACTCGTTTCGGACTCATTGCGGATTCTATTCTATATACAAAGGCCATTTTTCTATCTACAATTGGCCGTTCTGCTACCTACTTCTTCTTGCTAGGCCCGGTCTTCTTCTCCTGAGCCTTCTCCTGCTCCTTTCCCTTCTTCTTGTTCTCCCGTCGGCGCTCGTTCTTCCTGGCGGTTTGCTTACGCCTCTTCTCGCGCTTCCGTTCCGCCCGTTCCCACTCCGAAAGCCGCCGTGACTCGGCGATGTCGAGCGGATCGGGGATCCGGATGACTGGTGGCACCCAGTTGGGCACCGCGATCGTCGCAGGGGCACGACGGGCCCGGACCTTCTCCGGTGAGCTTTCCGCTCGCTGCTTCCCCTTGCCTTTTTTGTCCACTTCGGACTCCTCCTCCTCCTCCTCCGACGACTCCTTCGAGCCCCCATCCACGGACTCCTCCGCCTCGTCGTCGATGAACGACGGCAACTCGTCGTCGAACAACGACGCAGGATTTGCGCGCGGGCCAGAGCCCTTGCGGAAGATCCTCCGGCGTTGGCGCACCGGTTGCTCGACCTCGTCGTCGTCGCTCGACTCGACGACCGGAGTCTCCGCCCGCTGACGCTTTCGCGCCCTCTCCCTCGCCGCGTCTGCCTCCATCTCGTCAACCAGACGGCGGAGCTCCTCCTTATAGGCGCGCTCGTTGGCGGCCTGAGGACTTTCCGCCTCTGGCGACTCCTCCCTCAGCCCACTCCCTTCGCCCTCCTGTCCTTCCGGCTCCGGCGACTCCGACCCAATGTCTCCACGGGTCACCCTCGCTCTCAGCTCGTGGAGCGCCTTCGACAGCGTAATGAGATGCTGCCCCTGCTCGTTCGCCAGTTGGGTGAGCATCTCCGTCTTCTCCTGGCTCGCTTTGAGCTCGGAGCGGCTCCGCTCGAGCAACTCGCGATGCTCTTTTGATAGGCCAGCTTCGCTAAGTCGAAGGTCAGTTTCGGATTCACTCCGTTGGCTGCTTCACGCACCCTTTTGGTCTTACGACCCTTTTGGCCTTCGGAGGCTTTCCGGGCCAGTCGCAGGCGGCCTTGGCGTCCACGCATTCAACGCACGACGACGCGTTGGTTTTCGTCACCGGCTGGTCCACGCACTCCAGCTCCTTCTTGACGCAGCGATAACAGGCTACAAAACGGTTAGTTATTCCTCCGTACGCTCCGCAACGGAGTATTTACGGATGGCGCGCAACGACATGGTGGTGGTGGTAGAGAGGAGAGAGTTTGGGTCCGCCATCACGAAATCCCACGGCCTTATATACCACGAATCCGGCACTCTCCGACAAACTTTTGATCATCGCCTCCGTTTCCGCCAATTCCTTTGCTGCGCCAAGCTGCGGCCCTGCAGCCATTTAATTTTAAACTTCCGCAGGGTTTCCATCGAATCTTCTGGGCTCTCGCAGGCCTCGTGCCTAAGAGGGGGATACTGTCATATCCGTGCATCCGTCATGTGCCGCGGCCCGCGGACCGGTCACGGTCCGCCGGGTTCCGGCCCGATCCGATCCGGTCGCTCCGGCGACCTTGTACTCTGTATGTCTTTCGCCTTGTTACTTATATCTCCGTATGTCCTTATGCTTGTTACTTTCCATATGCACTCCGTACCTTGTACTTACTTATGGTCTTCCCTTTCTACTTACTTGTAGTATTTAAGCAGCTAAAGTAGCTACGGTACTTTAGCTTGATTATAAACGTTACTTGCACTCCTCCTCTGTGCGGAACGACTCCGAAAACTCTTCTCTCTTCTCTTGTCCTTCAACCGGATTTCACTCCGCTCGCGGACCTTGCTCCGCTCCGACTCCGCTCCGGTCCGGTTGGTCTTGTGTTCATTCGTGTCAGGCAGCTACTGGCTTGTTAGCTATAGTAGAAACCCCCTCTGTTCTGCACGGCACTTGACACGCGGCAGCTCCATTGGCATCGGCTCCACCGCTCCCAGCTTCCGATGCCACAGCTCAACGGACACTACAACGGGGTCGTGCAGACCGAATCCTACGCGAACGCTGCCCGTTGTGTTTTGGTGGCACAGAATGGGGCCGTCCACTCAGCGTGTACGTTTCCGAGTCCACGTGGTTAATGTTTCATAAGCTGATTTATATGTTAGCGGAGGTGATGTTCAGCTGGCTGGGGATGCCTGCTTCAGCTACCGCCATCTGCGCTCTGCTGGTGATGGGCCAACAGGATATCATCCCAAATTCTTTGTTCCTAAGGCCAAGGTTGATGCGGTCAAGGTGCGAATGGAGGAGGCGAGGAAGCGACCTGTCCAGGTCACAGCACCAGATGATGGGTGTTCAGAGAATTGGACTGCTGCCAACGAGAAGAAGAGACTTGCGGATCCGAAAAGATATGATGCAAGTGGTATATTTGCGCTTACCTGCCGCCACTCCCAAGTCCTCTTTACATGCAATATTGACACTCCAGGAGAGCGCCACCATTATATTATTGCCCTCCTGGAGGAAGTGCTGTCTCATCTTCCTTCGGAGGCTACGGCCTGTCAAGCGTATGATGTCGGCTGTATTGTCGATCGAACTCTTACTCTGGTCAGTGTCTTTTTTCATATTTGCAATTGAGTTTTATGCATTATCACAGTATAATATCCTTGATCCTGGTGTTCGGGAGCGCGTCGCATTTGTGCTCAATGCCATGCATGCTTATGGGCATGAATGGAGCTGTCAGCTAAAATACAACCCACGCATGGTAGTTGGAATGGGGTTGACAGACAACGAGTGCATTGAGCGTCTCTGGTCACGAATCCGAAAACTTATTCCCATCACTCGTGGGCAATGGGTATGTTTTAGATATATTATTATCCTGTTGCTGACATAACTAGAATTCACGACGTATCTGGACAATTGACCAATACGTAGCCTTCGTCAATGAAGATGGATTCTACAATCTCGGAAATTGGATTGTTCGACAAGAGTCTAAAAACTATGCTAGCAAGTTCAAGACTGCTCGGGCCAATCTCATTCGTGCTGGAGTTCCAATTTCAGAGCTTCAAACAGAATGGGAGGCTCAGAGAGCCTCACAGACCTCTCTCCGTAGGCGTGCGTAGCCACTTAGAGCTACGCTGAGCTCTGCTAATACTCTATGTAGATGCTCCAAAGCGTTTACGGCGTGAGCTCGACAAAGTGATTGCACTACAGGCTCAGATCGATCTTGTCGAGAAGTCGATTCTGGAGGTTCGTTCAACAATAGCTGGTGACACCACTGCCTCCGATGCCCAACAACTTTTACGCCAGCTCGAATCAACCCACTCAGAGCTTTCCAAACAGGCTGAGGCACTGTATGCTTCACTGAACATTTCTAAAATCTATCCCGAACTCCAAGGTCTCTCTCCCGAGGTTGCACATCTACTTCTGATGATGCGCGACCTCAAGATTAGCATACGGAGGAAGGCAGTAGGGTCTTTTCAAGAGTGGGAGACACTCGACCAAGCAGTATCAGGCCGCCGGGAGCCTCTAGGTATTTTCAGTCTACAATTGGTAGCCTCTATTGACAGTATCTAGGAACAAAGTTATATCAGGCAACTCGCTCTACCATCACCAAACGGCAACCCGCATTGATGAAGGCTCTCAAAAAGTTCAATGATTATTGTGCAGAGTTTGAGCAACTTCGACCTGCAGACTGCCATATTCCTGTTCCACATCCACTTCCTACTCAACTCAGTGCACTCCGGGAGGACACTTCCTTGCATGAGGATGTTTGGATCACACCATCAGAGGGACGACCGCCACGCTGGCTCGAAGATGAAGATGTCCGACAAGGTATTCGGAGCCTCCTTACTCTCAATCGGTGTCAGGAGGAGATGGTTCGCTTGGCAGCAGAGCGTCGCAACATGCACCAGTGGTTAGAGGATGAGGACAGAATTCTGACCTATACAATGGAACACTACCAAGGTTAGACTCTTACACCTTCCAGTGTAAAGATTGACTTGGCAATAGAGCCTCTCTTGCAACTTATATTTGCGTGAGCGACGGGAATATCTCTCTATCTTGCGGGCATCTTGGGGCCAGTGCTTAGCTGGACCTTCTGTCCGTCCACTCCGTTTTACAGGACCAACAGCACCTATGCCAACACCTCTATCTCCAAGAGCCTCCTCCCCCTCCCCCCTCCCTCCCTCCAACCCCTCAGCTTTACTCTCTCCCTACATCAACCCAAATCATACTGGAACCATCTGATGAGCTCAATGATCAAGACATTGAAGTAGCACCCTTTAACTTACTTCCAGAAGAGTCAGAGCCTAGTGTGGATATCACTGTGGATGGTAGTATTGATGCACATGAGGCACTCATTTTTGAGAGTGAAGAGGGTGATGGTCTGGATATTAACTATACTTTCAAGATTGAGGTCCAACCAGTGAGTTATTTGTTTTGAGTTATTTGTTGGATTTATCTTTTGTAGCCTCCCAGACAAGTAGACCTACATCTCTTCCAGGTCTTACAGGAATATGCAACCAACAACCCAAGTATACCGAATGCTCCCACATCCCGAACTATTGTTGACACTGTTGGGCGGAAGCTCCATATCGACTCCGAGGACCTCAAACGCCTCCAACATCGCACTCGATGGCTCAACAATTTCTGTCTCAATGGTGTTGCTGCCTTGGTTATGAAAAATTTTGCTTCCCCTGACATCTCTTGTGCACTACTGAGTACTCTTGATCTTCACAGAGTCCAGTATGACACCAATGATTCTGTTCTCTGGCACCATTTGGCTCCAACAGAATATTGGAACAAGGAGCTCTGGCTCATTCCTATTCATCGGAGACAACAGCAACACTGGGTCTTTTGCTATTGCCTCCCCCAAGGAGCAGATGCTGTTCTTCTATGATAGTTTTGCTGAGATGGCTGGGTGGAGCTCTGATCTTCCAGTGCGTGTTTTCTGCTCATATCTGATATCATTAATACTCTTTGTAGGATCTTATGAAGCTCTTAGCTGCCATGACTAGACTGGCAAGAGCACATGGTCATCCATTGTCTCATCTGCAGCAAACAAAACCCTGGCTTGCACATCCATTATTTGAGATGGTGAGGGAGCCTCTACTATTATTTACATACACTGACATCTAGAACTAGGGAGCAGCACAACAACACAATGGCTATGATTGTGGTATTTGGGTTCTGTGCATGATCTCAGCTGTGCTTAGAGGCTTCACTGCTATTGATCTCACTGAGGAGCAAATTGGTTCTATTCGTGCTTTTTTTTGTAAAACTAGTGCTTTCAGGTTGAACAAGTAGCTACACCTCGAGGAATTTGAGATAGTACAAGTTAACAATATCGCGGGCCTCCCACTGCAAAAACAACTGCCACATCGCAAAGCTACATGGTTGAGTAAGGGGATTGTAAGGAAGAGACTTGACGTGGTGCCATGAAGCAACGCGAGACCGGACCTCTTCACGCAGCTTATCCACTACCCGTTTGTACCCTAGTTTCCCGACATCGTGTTGGAGGCGATGGTCGCGATTGATTTGATCGCGGAAACGGACAGCGTGGAGCAAGATCGCAAGCTTCCGTATAGCGCTGCCCTTCAGATTGAGTGTGGCCTCATCGATGGTGAACGGAGGGGTAGCCTTCCATGGAGTCACTGCAGTTTCGTCTGGAGAGATTGGAGTTGCCATGAGATCTTGGAAAAGCTGGTCTGTTTCTGGTAGTGGTCGCCGCGAGAATGTGATTATGTTGTCAGCAAGAGCTGGCAAGCGTGATATCGAGTGTAATGCGACTTTGCGCCGGTTTCGTAGCGCATTCTGTTCAGCGCGGACTATTTTTCTGCTGTATTTTATCAGCCAGAAAACAGAAACACAATAGATTGACCCACCGTGCGCTTTGATTATATGCTCGGTCGTAGCGTTGTCGTGCCTGAGCCTGTTCTTCTGGAGTAGAGTACAATTTTCGGCGTCCCATACGAAGTGGTGATGGTGTGTGGTAAGTCTGTATTGTGGCGAGTAACGCCATTGATCAGTATTTCTGCCTGCTGTACATTTCTTCTCCAAAATGCCGGGAGAAGCGGGTAGAAAGTATCGGACACTTACCTGAAGTGTCCAGGAGCTTTCCTGGAAAGAATTCATGCGGTAGGTGGTGAGTTCGAGGTGACTCTTGGTGATACGAGTTTTATTCTGGGAGCCTCTTGGGCTTCGAGGAGCTGACTAGCCAGGACTGAGATGCTACGCATCAACGAGTGGAGGCACTTTCGGGAGGTGATGTCACAGTGTGACAATTCACTTTGGCTCTCAACGACACGATGGGCGGTGGCGGCGGAACCTCTGCAGGTGCCTCGCAGAGCCTACACCCTCCTCTTCGCCGGCTCAACGAATCAGTGGCGCCACCCATTCACGTGCTCCAAAAATTTTCTTCCTCCTTCCTCTTGCACGACAGTCGTCGGTCTCGCAATCGACGCCAGCACAACAGCCTCTCTTTCCAGCGGGAGCTCTCTGAAGGTGCTCAATCCCATTTTACTTGAATTTAACTGCTCACAGGCTGCAGGGCATCCTCAAAAAAAGCCACGTCGCCGCTTTTGCTACTTGGGCATCAGGCTCCTGCTCACTAGTAAGTACATCTCATCCCGCCTACTTGTCTTGTCTAACGAGCCCCTGAAGGCTTCCTCCTTGGTCAACTTCTTGGTCGTCTGCTGCTGTCGATTGACGCTTCTCGCGCCGGTGCCGCTTCTCGCAACGTCAGGCTCCTGGTCACTAGTAAGTGCAGCATCTCATACCTCCTTCGAATACACTAACGAGCCCCTGAAGGCTTCTTTCTTGGTTGTCTTCTGCTGTCGATTGGACGCTTCTCGCGGCGGTGCCGCTTCTCGCAACGTTGCCATCAAAACGCTCGATACAGGTGAGCACGTTCACCAACTCATTGTTCTAACATTTATCATCTCCCAGAACAGCTGTGTCACCTTCAAACTACTTTCGTGTCTGCTCCCACTGCTTCGTAGGTGTCTCTTGTTTTTTCTGGAGCTGTCTTATCATTGCGAGCAGAATACTGATGTCAAGTCATCAAAACGGGACTTCTCCTCCGCATACACCAACCAAAAATCAAGCACCGCTTTTGCCATCCAGCGGGCAGTCGTACTCAGAGCAGCTGGGCGAGAGTGACATAGCCACTTGGGGCACTCAAAGTTTCTCTTCAATTCCATCATTGGGTGGTCGAAGATTTGTCTCATCTCTCAACTATTCCATTCCTGCACTTGGCGGATCGGACGACATGAGTATGGACCTTGAGCCAGGCAGCATTAGCCTCCCACACATCGATACCATCGAAGAGGCTCGATTTCTCGACCGCCCTTCCCCCTTTGACAACATCCTTCGACCCGACTATATCCTTGAGCAGAGAGGAGGTGGACGGGGCTTCGAAGAAGAAGATGAGGACCCCTTCTCCGACAACTCACCCTTGCGCGCTCAGCAAAACGAAGATGACCAGCTTGGTGGCCCTGATGACCAGCAAGGAGGTGGACGTGGCAATCCAGCGCCTTTGTCTCCTGAAGACCAGCGTTCCACTCGGTTGCGCTCCAATATCCCGCTCTCTCGACGCGGTGCTGGCAATCCCGAGTTCCACGCGTTGAAGCAGGCTCGACATATGCTCAAACAGGTCGAAGAGGAGCCTCCCATTTCCCAATCAGCCTCTCGTCTGCTACCACCACCTCCCTCTCCTGATGCCGTTCTACCGCCTGCTCTTGCGCATGGGGCTGATCAGACCTTTGATGTGGAACCGGAGAAAGCACCAGCTGCAGCTCCCCCAGCGTCAAAACGCGCTGTTCGCTGGGCAGATTTTGCTCCAGGTCACCGTCCGGCTCCATCTCGCGCCACTTCTGCACCGCCTACACCTTCGCCGACTAAACGTCTCGTCCAACCCATCTAACCTCAACATTTTCTTGGAAAGCTGGAGGAGTTTCACGCCCAAGGCGGTTTTGAAGAGGTCTCCTTACCGCCAGCGCCCGAAGACTGGGTTGCAAAGCATTCCATTCCGAAACCGCCGAATGTCAAACCCAAAGGTGCTCGCTCCAAAGAACATAACGAAATCATCACCTCCGTATTCGATAAACTTGTAGACCTCATCAGCGAAGCGTCGAACCAGACCGGCCTCGATGCCGCGCACATTCAAGATATTTTGATCAAGATGCTCGACGGCACACCTGCGCGTGCACCCAATTCCTGGAACATTTATCAGAGCTTCGTCGCAGATCCCCAACACCGCCTTCGCGAGATGCAAAGAGTCTACCCAGACTTTAAGCCTCCCCAGATGGAGGACCCCGAAGACGCGACAAAAATGATCGACGCGGACTTCGACATGACGCAAGCTGACATCCGCCTCGCTTACAACGTGTTCAGCAAAGAGTCTGGAGCCAACGAAATCCTTCGGACCTACCTGGCCGTCACTGCTAACAACGCTGGCCAGTCAACGCAGCAGTCCCGACGAGTGTCGTTCAACCGTGTTGTCAAAGATTGCAAGGCCTCGGTATGTTTATCTATTTCCGCATCTATTCTACACTGACTTAAACATCTTCCAGCTTGATCGCGTGCAGCGCTTCGGATTCCAGGGTATCGCTGTGGTTGTGGGGCCAATAATCCATCAGGATAAGGACCTTGGTTGGATGCATACAACTGATCAGCTTGAAGGGGTAAGCTCCTTGCTGTTTGGCTACCATAAACGGCTCACGACTCTACAGATCTTCGATGTAATGCATTGCGACTCCGACGATATTATAGCTGTCTATCAGTCAATCGCATAGTAAGTTTCACGACGGCTGCCTTGATGACTTAGCTTAAATAAATTACAGCAAAAGCGAAGTTGCGCCGATAGCAACTGCCTTCAGAGAGGCTCTCGGCAGCGGCACTCCTGGTAGCGTAATCAAGGAGGCTCGAGGTGACAGTGGTGGCGCAACCAAGGAGGCTCGAGGAGGCAAGAAGGCTGGTGTGATAAAGCGAGCTCCCGCATCTGCTCTCAGCACCAAGGCCAAGGGCAAAGGAAAAGCCAAAGCCCGCTCCCTCTCTGATTCCGAGGACTCTAATGACGAAATCGACTTCCCCGCCTCCGAACTGTCTGGTACTGAAGGAGCTAACAAGCTGCGTGATATCTTGTCGAACGCAAGCATAGAGGATCTTGGGATAGACGTCTTTCGAGCGTATAGCAACGGGAGATTTGCGTGGCAACTCCTGGCGCATATTTTTGGCGCCCATCGCGTGCGTATATACAACTATCCCACGCGCACATGGCTCCCCAACGAGTACACGTCGGGGAAGGGCATAACATCCCTCACCCTCAAGCATCGTCGAGGGCTCATGGCTGCAGCAAAGGCTAGGAGCCTCCATCGGTTCGGTGGCTTGCGATTCGAATGGATTCCCGAAACGATCACTGATACTTCAGGCACGTTTTTTTTTTTTTTGCTATTACTTGCTAACGTCTTAAATAGGGTTGCTTGTTATTCTCCGTCGCAATTACTCGCGTAGACCACCAGACACCACAGACGATACAGTTCTACGCAAATTCTGGCGCTCTTCTAACGGTCATGGCCTCCAACATCTTGACGCCAGTGGATATATGTGGCTCTGCTCCTACGACTTGGAGCTCAACCCCAACCCCTCCAATGGAAACAAGAACATGCTCATCAAAGCCCCGCCTGTTGTTGTGAAGAAGGAGGGAAAAACTAGTAAGAAGGTTGGGCAGGGGAAGAAAGGGGCTGGTCGGAAAGCGGAGGCTTCATCGGAGGAAGAGGCTCAAGAGACCGCATCCGCAGTGGATGACTCCGAGTACGACACGCAGCGCGATGCTGATGGAGATATCCAGATGGGGGATCTTAGTGTGGGCAATAGCGAAGAGGATCGCGAATTTATTCC